CCATCTGTGAACACACTCTTCCTTCCTTTCCCTCTTCCCACTATGAACATATCGAAATCGCTTACCATCGATTTCAGCAAACCCGATGTCTCAGACGCGTCTTCAACCGCTTTCTCCGAGTAGAAAATGTCTACTAATGTATTGCTCTTCACTTCTCTAAGTAGTTCATCGTCAAGCATTTTATCCCACTCAGAGTTTTCTCGTGCATTCCCATCGGTAGTGATCATTCGGACAATGGTTATGTTGATTCTCGGGTCACGAGCCATTCGCGTAGCAAGTGTCACTGCTTCTCTATCGTCTTTACCGCCTAGGAAGATCATACATATATTGTAAGATGATAAGTTTGAAACGGTGTCATTGATGGTTCTCCGTCCGGAACTGCTTCGGTATACAAAGATTCCGACAGAACACGGTGCCACGTCAAGAACGCTCTTGTTAAGGTTCCGGATCATGTTGCTGTTTGAGATGAGAGCGGATCCGTCAGCAGACCAAGTTTGGTGAAAAGGAAGGAGTATGAGGGAAGTAGTGTTGTTGAGAGCAAGCATACAGATGTCTCCGTGCATCGTATCGGGCATAGATAAGGCCGTGTAGATACTTACGAAGACCGAACCATAGAAATCTTTGCGGAATTTTTCAAAGGAGACAAGTACATTGTTTGAATAAGATGTCTCCTCTGTTCTGCGAGTTTGCAATTTGTGAGAAATGAAAATCGGATTGGCTTGTCCTACGAGCTCCATCAAGTGGAGGACGTAGGATGCTACTGGAGATTCCCGGGACGGACAAGTAGCTTCAAGAAGATTGATCATTGGACTTATATCTTCGGTTCTGTACATGCAAGACAAAATCCTTAGCTCAGAGTTTTGTTTCAAGTGCTGCATATTCCGCTTCTCGTACCCCGCGTACATCCTCGAAGGATCGTATAAGTACCGCAAGATCGGAGGAATAATTGCGGAGTTCAACGTTATGTAAAGACACGCGACAGTGAAGGTCTCGGGACGGACAGACTGCAATGTTCAAAGCATAGACATGAGATATAGTTTTGATATTGAATAATTATGACTATGAAGTCATTATGTGTGTATACATACCCCTCTTTGGTAGGCCAAGGCGTAGGCACCGAGCTCGAAGATGCCTTTAAAAGACATGATAAGAGATAGAGCAAAGCAATCTTCCATCGGCATACGATAAAACAAAGCAGGAACAGTAGTCAAGATGAATTTGACAACGAAAGATGTTATCATGATGAGAATAATGGCACTGAGATCTTCCCAATCAAATAAAGCCGAAATGTCAATCTCCGTGGAAGATGAAGCAACGAAAAACGGAATAAAAGTGCCGAATATAGCGGACTCGTACTTCTGAATGATTGCAGAACCTAAAGGAGGACCATGAGGAACAGCAAGACCTAAGATGAAAGGTCCCATGAAAATAGATTGCTTGCACCAATTCGCAAGAATGGCTGATCCAGAAACCATAACAATGATTGTAGTTAAGTAGATTGCCTTGACAGGACGACCGGAAGGCGTTTGTTTAACAATGTAAAACATTAACGGTCTGAAAACATAGATGGCAAGGCAAACAAAGAGAACCACTATCGCTGCTCGCTTCAAAGGACGATTCCCAGCAATAACATCACCTATAAACACGCTCCCGAGCCGTGTTTGTTCGTCCTTGAGCTCCTTCATAAAGATGAGAGCGGAAGCGAGAACCGAGGTGCTGAAATCACTTATCACAGCAGAAGACATCGCTAAACGACCAAGCTCTGAGTTCTGTAGCCTGAGCTCAAAAAGAAGGTTTCCAACAACGGGGAAAGACGAAAGACATTGAATCGAGTAAATTACAACAGTCTCCAATGAATTGAGAGTATGATCCGAGTTCTTGGTTCCAACGTCTCTCAAGTTTCCGAAAAAGATAACGGAACAAACTAACGTCGAAAGTAAAACAGAGGAGATCCCTATGGTAATAGCTTTTCTTCCCGTGGTTCGAATTAAACCCATGTCCATTTTAACTCCCATCAAGAACCAGAACATCATGTAAGAACAAGCACCAGTGAGACGAAACACAATCTCTTTGTAATCCTCTGTAGAAAAGAATCGTCTCGCCGCTGAATTCTCCTTTAGCAAAGACTTGCTCAAAAGAACACCAGTCTACAAAAAACCTCAGATTTCAAATCCAAACAACAAGAAAAGAAAATCGTTTTCGAGATTTTCGAATACTTACAAGCATATGAGAAGTGAAACGGATCATGCCGAGACGCCGGAGGAAGAAATGCAAGAATTGCCAGAGGAAAGAGATGATGAGAAATATCATTTGCAAGTGTGGAAACGTGTAATTCCAGAAATGAACATTAATGTTAGGATCTTGAAATTTTGGTTCCGGCCAAACACCATTGGAGCTAGGGTTGATAGGTAAGACGTCACAGATCATGGTTCCTTGTCTCCATGTGTCTCTCAAGTAAAGCATCTTATTATCTCCAAACTCCTCCATTGATGACAAACCCTCAATGAAACAGATCAAAAAATAGATTCCAGGAGCAATGTGTTATCGGAGAAGGATTACAAAGATTTGATTCTTTTATATGAATATATTCTTCTTTTACTGTTTAGGTAACAGAATCTAATGAACAAGTGATCATCTGGGTTTTAAAACCCTAATAATAGTAAATAATGAATGGGCAAGAGTAACTAACAAGAAACAGGTTTCGCCGGCGACATAGATATATTTTATTTTGAGGATTGTCTGATTATTGTTAGTTTTTGCAGGTTACAACTTAATTCTGCTAATTTACGGGTAATTGAGCAAACTACAACAGACAAATGCCAAAGGTGAAGAAGGAAACTAGAAACCAACCTACGGCGAAACCATGTGCCACTACTATTTTCTCCGGTGATTCCGATGGCATTTCCGATTATGACGACGAGTAATCATCTTCGGTCTCGTGTTCTTGCTCCTGTCCCGGTGATTAGATTGGAGGAATTTGAATTTGCCAAGCAAAACTCATTCAAAATAGTTATCTTGGGTGGCAAGCATAATTATCCAACATTCATTTGTGAATTTTAATTCTTTCTATATTCTTTTTATTTGACAAATTAATAATAGGGAAAGTGGAGTTCGAACCCCAAGCCACACAAGGTCGTCTTGCTTACTTTATTTTTTTGCTTGCATTTTTTTGTTACATGTTGGAAACTTGAAAACTAAATTAGTAGTTGATTTTAAAAAACAGAAGCCGGTGGAAATTAAGAGAGCTACATAGATTAGTTTAGTTGCATTACAGTTTATCGATTTCCAATGGAAACAATAAAATTCTACTAGAATCATTCAAACAGAAGCTTGATGGCACGTGAAATACACTTGTCGCTGTAATGGTAGCAGCAACTTATTTTTTGTAAAGCGTAAATTAACGTTACATTCTAAAAGCCAAAAAATAATGTAACTCACCAAAGCTAACCCCAAAAAACAGCATTGATCACCATATAATCACACTTCATAGAAATTTTGATTAGTCATCAATAAAACTACTTCTTTCGAAATTAAAAAATGAAACGCATTAGCAAAAATTATTTAACATAATTGCAACTCATGCCGATGGCCACATTATAAACATTTCCATGTAAGATCCAATCATATATGCACGCGTATACAATTTGTGTGCATGTAAGCAGATAAGAGAACTGAATATGTAGTCGCAATTTGTTTTTTTTAAAAGGATTGGATATAGATGTGACATAAGATATATGTGAGCTTGACACTTGACAGTTATATGATTGTATTGTATATCCAAAGAATACATGAAGAAAAGGCCATGAAAGAACACTAACACTTGACTTAGGTTAATCACTAGTTAATTACATCGGGATTGACCTTCTTCGTTTATTTTAAGAAGTAGCTGACAAAGTCTTGTTAAGGTAATATGCGGGGGAGGATTTATGTGGGGATGGTCCTTTTTGCTCTCTCTAGTTGACTTCCGAGTTAATCCTAATCACATCACATACTTCTATTATTCCATTTTCAGCCTAATGTAAAGAATTCATATACATGACAAATGCATTTAAAGAGAAAAGAAAAACATCATTCATGACGACAAAAACTTAAGTCTAAAGAATTTTTCTAGCGTTGTCTCTTGCCAGCATCCGAGTTCATCAAAATCCTTATATTGCATATTACTTTTGCAAAAATACATTATTTACAACTTTATATGTATTGCATATTTGTTGTATGTTATAAATATTTTCCATAAACTCATAATTTTAAATATCGTTAGGTATTAAAAAATTTGGGATTTATAAAGGTCTAGATGTCAATTTAAATAAAATTTAATATTGTTTGCATCCATCCAAAATATCTATTCGATTTTTAAATCACTAATAAACTGCAAGGTTCAAAATATCTTTAGGTTCAATAGCTTATTTCAAAAAATTTCACCGAATTTAGTACTTCTTCGATATCATTTGAAGTGATTTTTAAACTTTTTACACATAAATTAAGATAACAAATAATTTTCATTTCATTTACCTTATTTACATATAAACATCAGTAAATAAAATGAATTCAACCAATAAGAAACTATACTATAAAATATGATTAGTAAAAAAATTAAATATAAATTTTCACACAGAAAATTAAAAATATCACTTAAAATGAAACAAATTTTTTGTTTGGCTAAATTATCACTTAACAGAAGTGATACGGTGGAAGTATAATCTTTCTTTTAATAAATGTAAAATTGAAATTACCAAAAATACTGTTTTACAATAAATATGCTTCATAAAATAACTGAAATTGTTTCTATCTAAACAAAACTAACTTCAAAAGTGATTTTGGAAACGAAGGAATATAAGTACTATATGTTACACGTATTTGTTTGTGTGCGTGTGTTATTTTGTGTGTATATAGATCTCTATTTTATACAGGTAGAGGGTAGGGTGTCTTCTTCAATGCATCTCTCTAGAGTCTGGACCGTCTGGCATATATATGAAACAAATATACCACAAAGAATTTAAAGAGTCAACAAAATCAAAAGAAAATTTAAGAACAAAACTCAGGCTAGATTCTTCATATACATATGATGAATCGAGATGAGCATATTACAACTAAAGGTGAAGGATCAATGTCTAGCTTCTCCGGGACGACCAGTACTTCCTCAAAACAAATCTTCGTTAATCCCGTGACCGCGGCAGGGACAAAATCATTGGAAGAAGACGACGTTTCACTCTCCCTTCTATATAACCTGTCTACCTTACAAGACAAAGTCCATCAGATCCAATCTCTGGCCAGCTTCTACATGATATCTACTAATAACATTAATCAATCCGCGGGGTCAACGTCTTTGGCCGTGGCTAACATCGGAAGTTTGGTTCAAGAGATCATTACGGCTGCTTCATCCATGTTGTACACATGCCAACAACTCCACATCGGATCTAACAACAGCAACGATATCGATAACGATCACACCGTAGATGCAATGGTTTTGGAATTTTCCCGACAAGAAACCGACCCGGGTCATGATTTTGTGCAAGAGTCGACCAACCTTTTTGGTGTCCAAGAAAGAGGGCAGATCTCGTTTCCTAACCAGAATCATGACTGGTATGACACAGAAACCCTAAATCCTAAAAAAGAAAAACATCGTTCTAAACCAAAACCCGGGAATTACGAGATATTGGAGCTAGACGTAGCGGACCTACTAGCGAAATACACACATTACTGCCAGATTTGTGGGAAAGGGTTTAAGAGAGACGCGAATCTAAGGATGCACATGAGAGCGCACGGGGATGAGTACAAGACACGTGAGGCCTTGATCAGCCCAACGAGCCAAGAAAAGAAAGGAGAATACACGTTGAAGAAACATTACTACTCGTGCCCTCAACAAGGGTGTAGATGGAACCAGAGGCACGAGAAGTTTCAACCGTTGAAATCTGTGATTTGCGCCAAGAATCATTACAAGAGGAGTCATTGTCCTAAAATGTATATGTGCAGGAGATGTAGTGTGAAGCATTTCTCGGTTCTGTCTGATCTTAGGACACACGAGAAGCATTGTGGGGATATAAAGTGGGTTTGCTCTTGTGGGACTAAATTTTCTAGGAAAGACAAGCTTATGAGCCACGTTTCTTTGTTCTTGGGCCACGTACCGGCACATGGGTCGTCCCAGCCGCCAACAACAATCACACTAAAGTAAGATTATAGGAATTCGAGTTCGAAAGAGATTTCATGGACGTATCTCAAAGAAATGACTTGTGCATTCAACTTTCTTTCTCTCTTTCTCTTTTTTTTTTTTTTTTTTTTTTTTTTCTTTTTTGTCCTCTTTGACGAGTTTCTAAATTCTCTAAATTAATGTCACAAAGATAATACTATACAAAGTTGTATCACACCGTCCCCGACTTGTGCATTAACGTTAATGTTACAAATGATTTTGGTTCTGATGATGGGTATAATTAATACATTTTCACTAATCACAAAAATATGTGGAATCAGTGAGAATCACAATTTATGTTTAACACTTCTCCCACTTCTCAAGATTAATGAACATCTAATATACCATGCAGATTTTTAAGAAAAGAACCCCATATAATCACAAACTATTTAGCTATAAAACTTTTGTTATATTAAAAATAGAAATGAAAAATCATTTCTTCCAGTTTTTGCATGTATTTTACATGATCAAAATTAACAGATACTAGAAAAATTAGAAACATATATCGTTAACTCTGTTAAAAATAGTGCTTAACACGGTGTATTTGAACATTTATGTAACGGTAAAAAACAATAAATATACAAATGCGGGAAAAATAATTTTTCATACCTCAACTACAGAGTTATGTTCGATTTATATATCAAATATAGCTTAGTATCAAGCTAAGCTAAATGTTTATTTTTGTACTTTATACAAATTTTTAAAATTGTGGATAATATATCAATAAAAATAACTAAAAAGCTGGTGATTTTTGAAGAATTTTCTTATTCCTTTATGAAAAGGGTTATTATGTAAGTATTAATTTTTCATTTCCATCATGTTAAATAGCAAAGACGTAATCGTAGCCGTGCAGTATTGGACGGATCAAAAGTAGCCACGTCAGCTATCCACGCCAAAAACTTTTTCGCTCTTTTGCCGCTTCATCAACTTATGGCGGATAACAAACAGCGCAACTGGATCGGCAAAAAAAAAAAAGCGCAACTGAAAAATTTCGAATTTTCGACATTCGGAAAAATCATTTTTAAAATCACTCGCGCATTAAAGTGAAAATAGATCTGAACCATCCATTCATTAAAACCCCTCATCGAACAGCCCTCATATCACCACGTCACCAATCCGCGTCTCAGTATCTCACCCAATAAGATCTCTTCCTATTCTCTTATATAAATAAACACACAAGTCTCGAATATTTCAGAATCAAATCAAAACCATCAAAGCAAAATCTCAGTCTCTAGAAAAGTAAAAGCATTTGAAAACGACAATGGCCAAGGCAGACAAGAAACCAGCAGAGAAGAAACCGGCAGAGAAAACTCCGGCAGCCGAACCCGCAGCGGCGGCAGAGAAGAAACCAAAAGCCGGCAAGAAGCTCCCAAAGGAATCAGCAGTCGCCGGAGACAAGAAGAAGAAGAGATCAAAGAAGAACGTCGAGACATACAAGATCTACATCTTCAAGGTGTTGAAGCAAGTTCATCCAGATATCGGTATCTCAAGCAAAGCCATGGGAATCATGAACAGTTTCATCAACGATATCTTTGAGAAACTTGCTGGTGAGTCTTCGAAGCTTGCGAGGTACAACAAGAAGCCGACGATTACTTCTAGGGAGATTCAGACGGCGGTGAGACTTGTGTTGCCTGGAGAGTTGGCGAAACATGCTGTTTCTGAAGGGACTAAGGCCGTTACGAAGTTTACTAGTACTTAGATTTGGAATGTGTTTTGTAATGGAGAAGAAGTAGTAGTAGTTGGAATGTGAAATAGGGTTTATGCTTTTGAGTATCTTGAAGGTTATGTAGTTTGGGAATTAGGGTTTTTAACTATGGTTCTGTTATGAAATTCTACTTAATTTACCAGTGTTCTTGGCTATTTCAATCTTCAATTCTCAAATCTGTCGATTTATATTAGACTCTAAAGAACAGTTCTTGAAGTGTAAATCTGAAAACCGAAACTTTATGATTCTCAATTCATAAATTTCCAAACTTTGATAGCAGTTTTGGTTTGAGAAGGTGTTCCAATGTGAAACTTGGTAAAAAAAGATGAGATTTTCTTAGAAAATTCGAGGATCATTAACATAATCAGAAGGTTGCAAATTTCGCATTTGTATACAAACCAAATTTTTGTGCTCGATATTACATATCAGAACTTGATTGACAAAAAAAAGAAACTAAGTTATTAAGATATCCGATTTTTCAGTTACATTCAATGGTTAGGTTACATGAAGCATAACGACTTACATGGATTCGAGCACAAACTTCAAAACGATAGTCTATATGAAAGTATACAGGTCACAATGAAAACACCTGCTTAATTATCTTGACTTGATTGGATCATTTCTTTGGGTAAGTTCGATGGTCAGGTCCAACATCGCGTGAACCTGTGTTGATGTAAGGTCCTCTAAAAGTTGCTTGAGGAGGTAACGGTTTTGTTGGATCGATCACTGGTTGTTTCGACGATCTGCAACAAAAAGAGTCAGAGGAAAACGCAAAATGTCATACATACCACAAGATCAGACAAGATTTAACATTTGAGAGAGAAAAGAGGATTCTTACGCCATGTAAAAGGGGAATGCTAAGCCTGCAGATGCGAAAACAACCAGACCGGTGGCTACAACTATGTTACGTGATGGTGCCATTGTAATCTCGTTTTGCCTTTGAAACCCAAACAAGAAATTCTAGAAAAAAACCAAAATCGGTCTTAGATCATAAGAGAGATACAATGATCAATGAACTCAGACAAAACAAGAACTATGACATTGTGTCAACATCTAGATACAACTACAACTACAAGCACTTCTTCATAATCGATTTACATGAAAAAATATGAGACACATCTTGTTATTTGACAGACAAGACATGGTTTACAACATCAGTTCCAAAACCACCCTAGATCCAGTATCATCGACAAAAACTACATTTCTACTCTAAACAAACCAATTAGAACTCAAATTAATTACTCCGTCGAGATGTTCATAATCAAGTAAAGAGCAAAATCGAGATTCTTGAACCCAAAATCCAAAAATAACAACCAATCTAATCAATTCGAACAAATCTGTAGCGATAACTGAACGAGAAGCTATTGCAAGATAAAAACTTCGTAATCACGATTCATGAACCAAACTGATAAAAAAGAAGAAGATCTCACTTTTGGGATATGAGGAGGTCGAGTCGACTCAGTTAAACATTTGGGAATTTGAGATTGGGGAACCGAGTCGCGGAGGTGTATGAACCGACGATTTGGACGTGACGATCTGGGAAATTATTATTGGGCTGTGGGCAACTTAAATGGGCCTAACTTGTAAACTTATCTAATAACTTATTGCACTAAGTTCGTAAATCTGTAATAAAATATTTGCATAGAATTTGTTTAGTAGATTTGTTCAAATAATTAAATATATTTTATTAGTCTTTAATTTTTATTTATTGAAAGGAGTTGTAAATCTCCTTTACACATCGAGATAGAACATAATGATTTGAGATCTGAGCATCAACAATTAATTAAGCACTTTCTTGCACAATCTACGTTACTGCCACATTTGACGCGACAATTCCTTATGCATATAGGGTTTGGAACTATTTGAGGAGGTTGATTAATTACTATTTTCTTCCTGCATAAATCCAGAAATCATGAATAAATATATGTTAACATAAACATATATATCGACACACATTTGGTTTAAGATTTGTTATGTACATGAATGTGAGTGTAAGATACGTACGGTGAGGTAGATGTTGATGAGTGATGGTCTTCCTTTGACAAGCTTTCCACTCCATTGCATGATTTTAGATGACATCCTGACATTATCAATGTCATCATCATCATCATCATACACAATCTTTGCGTCATTCTTTTACAAACTTTGTTCGTTAGATTTGGACTTTTAAAATGATGTTTATTGTTTGACCTATGAATTTTGTGTGTGTGTGTGTATATATATACTAGATCATCACCCGTACTATAGTACGGGTTGAATTTCATTTATTACAAAATTAATAAATTTTATGTTTTAGAATAACGTTGTGATATATTATAATAGTAAGTGAAAAATAATATTTTTTTGTCAGTCCCTATATATAATATTAGAATGAATATATTTTCCTTTTTCTATAGTATTCAATTATGGATATTTTTTTTAAAGATATGAAAACGGAAAATAAGATTATTTTATAAAAAGAATTAATATTGTTTGAACAATGAGTTAATTTATGTTAACAACCACAAAATGAGAGTGCATATAATTTAGTTAGATCAAAAATCAAAATATCATAAATGAATCGCATCTAAAACGTAGATTATTTTGAATTACTTAAAAAAATTAGCTATTATTTTGAATTAATTTAGGAAATTATTTTTTCAAATTCTGATTCATTGGTTGTTGAAATAGAGATTTGTTTGAGCTAATTACGGAATTTACCAATTATTCACATAATCAAATATGTTATGAACATATATTTGGTATATAATAATACCAAATTCAATCCGTGTGTGGAGTCTATATTTTCATTTTACAATCCCTATGAAAATATTGCGGCACAATCTATTATTTATTATTTTCAAAATTGCTTGCAGAATCAAATTTTCAAATATTTAGAAGTGTCAAACCTTATTTAACCCATCTCATCATAAAATCTTAAAATGCCGTCTGTTATAAGGATCATAACTTTCTACCATATATTACATTACATTTAACCCGCCGCCTACTATAAATATTTTAAACATATCTTTTTAGAAAATCAAATTAATGTATTTATAATTTTTTTTATCTTTTTAATCTATTAAATATTTATGATATTCTTTAATATATAAAATTAAAAAATTTTAAAATGTTCCAAATTAAAATCCTTAAAATTTTTATTGTAGTATGTAAAATTATGAATTAAAAAAAATGATATGAAATTAAATATAAATATTCAAATAGTTATAAGGATCATAGCTCATTTTATCATATAATATATTATATTCAACCCGTCGCCTATTATAAATATTTGCTTCAAAAATCAAATTAGAGTATTTATACTTCATAAATTTTTGATCTATTAAGTATTGATCATATTAAAAAAAAAGAATATATTACTCAAATATGAATTTTTGACCCGTTAAATTTGTTCTTTCATACATTGAATAATTTATATTCGTTTTTAAAAATTTAAATCTTGGTATATGCGGAAAAAAATTTACTTTTTTTTTATTATATAGATGATATAATGATTTATTTATTTATAGAAATAGAATCATATAAAGATGAGAGGTGAAGTATAATAATTAATAACAAATTAATATGGTAAGTTAGATATCAAATCTTATATGTTCATTTTGATTGGTCATTCTTTTTAAAGAAATTAATAATAGATTTTCGTTTTTATAATTAAATTAAATTAATTAAATTACACAAAATAGTATTTGACTTGTTTATCCTTAATGAGTTGAATTAATTTACTCTATAAAATTTTATTTCTAATGGCATTCTTAAGTAATTTTTTACAAAAGGGAAGGTTAGTTAAGGGTATCTTATAAAGTGTACTCCCCAAATAATAGTATAGGATATATATATATGTGTGTGGTATGAAGGAAATATGTATATAATTAATTTTTTTAACTTTTGTTTTAATTGCAATCTTTTTAACAAGGGAAACAATATCCTAATCATTTAATCTTATCATAATTCATCCCTTTTAGGAATATTAAATAATTATTTATACTAGAAATGCACACTAGTCAAACATTTTTTTATATTTTGTATTTGACTTGAATACAATTAATTTTGTACATTAATTATTTGAATCTCAATCTCTGGTACTCTTAACTTTTTTATACATTAATCCTAATCATTTAATTAATAAAATAAGCATAGATATTATTTTTAATAAAAATAAATATATATAAGATTTGAATGAAAAGTAGTAAAATACATACTACTAATCTATATTTAGTCATATATATAAATATTGGGGTATATTGGGCCTATTGGGTTTAGTTTAATATATGTAAAGATACTTAGGTTAAGCCGTATGACGATTGTGTATAATGTTCTGTATTTATGAGCAAATAAGAAAGAACCTTCTATATTTCCTACGGTCCTTCCTTCGACACATCAATTATCGATTTATAATCTAGTGGGTTACATATGGGGTTGGTTGAGCACATTAACATAAAACAATGCAATGAGATTCTCACATTTTTCTGAAAAAATTCTATTACAGAAGAAAAAACACAAATATTGTTATTTTGGGAAAATTATAATAGGTCCTAGAATTGGTTGATCTGGTAGCGATAACTGAATCCAAAAATATCAACCAATCTAATCAATTCGAACAAAATATGTAGCGATAACTGAAGCTATTGCAAGATTAAAACTTTGTAATCACGATTCACGAACCAAACGGATAAAAAAGAAGAAGATCTCACTTTTGGGATATGAGGAGGTCGAGTCGACTCAGTGAAACATTTGCGAATTTGGGATTGGGGAACCGAGTCGCGGAGTGTATGAACCGATGATTTGGACGTGACGATCTGGGAAATTATTATTGGGCTGTGGGCAACTTAAATGGGCCTAACTTGTAAACTTATCTAATAACTTATTGGACTAAGCTCGTAAATCTGTAATAAAATATTTGCATAGAATTTGTTTAGAGCATCCCCTTGAGTGTTATGAATTTAATAATTTAAATGTATCAAAGAAAGAAAAAGGAAAAAAGGAAAAAGAAAGAGAGAGAAAGGAAAAAAAAGAGAGAGAAAGGAAAGAATAAAGGAGAGTGTTATCTCACATCCGAGTCTTAGTTTACATCCGAGTGTTGCCTCAAAACCAACTTTATCATTATTTTCCTTTTTAATAATGCTTACACCCGGGTAAAAAATATACCACTGCGTGTGGTCTTAGTAGATTTGTTCAAATAATTAAAAATATTTTATTAGTCTTTAATTTTATTTATTGAATGGAGTTGTAAATCTCCTTTATCGATACATCGAGATAGAACATAATGATTTGAGATCTGATCATCAACAATTAAATATGCAGTTTCTTAGACAATCTACGTTATCGCCACATTTGATGTGACAATTCCTTAAGCATATAGGGTTTGGAACTATATGAGGAGGTTGATTAATTACTATTTCCTTCCTGCATAAATCCAGAAATCATGAATAAATATATGTTAACATAAACATATATATCGACACACATTTGGTTTAAGATTTGTTATATACGTGAATGAGAGTGTAAGATACGTACGGTGAGGGAGATGTTGATGAGTGATGGTCTTCCTTTGACAAGCTTTCCACTCCATTGCATGATTTTAGATGACATCCTGACATTATCAATGTCATCATCATCATCATCATACACAATCTTTGCGCCATTCTTTTACAAACTTTTTTTTTTTTTTTACAAACTTTTTTCGTTAGATTTGGAATTTTAAAATGATGTTTATTGTTTGACCTATGAATTTTGTGTGTGTGTGTATATATATATATGTGTGTATGTGTGTGTTATGAAGGAAATATGTATATAATTAATTTTTTTAACTTTTGTTTTAATTGCATATCTTTTTAACATGGGAAACAATATCCTAATCATTTAATCATTATCATAATTAATCCCTTTTAGGAATATTAAATAATTATTTATACTAGAAATGCACACTAGTCAAACATTTTTTTATATTTTGTATTTGACTTGAATACAATTGATTTTGTACATTAATTATTTGAATCTCAATCTCTGGTACTCTTAACTTTTTTATACAGTAATTGGAAACGACCTGTGTCCCCCTATAAAGTTTCATATAGTATCACAACTACACAGAATTCGGATCTCGACCGCAGTCCACACAGATCAGAAGTTAAACTCCAATTTCCCCCCAAATCAAAAGTTCGAGACCTTGGTCCCCAAAATTTTGAATTTCGTGGTTTATCTGTGGTTTACTGTACCGAACCGATGCCAAACCAAAACCTAGTAGAATAAACCGAATTTTGAAATTAATTTTGGAATGTAATGAAATTTTGAAATTAATTTTGAAATTAATGAAATTTTGAAATTAATTTTCCGAAAATTAATGAAAATTAATGAAATTTTGAAATTAATTTTCCGGAAATTAATGAAATTTTGAAATTAATTTTGAAATTGATGAAATTAATTTTGAAATTAATGAAATTAAAAAATAAATTAATGAAAATTAATGAAATTTTGAAATTAATGAAAATTAATAAAATTTTGAAATTAATTTTCTGGAAAATTAATGAATTTAATGAAATTAATTTTGAAATTAATGAAATTATTTTTGAAATTTCATTGATTTTCCGGAAAAATAATTTCAAAATTTCATTAATTTTCATTAATTTGTTTTTTAATTTCATTAATTTCAAAATTAATTTCATTAATTTTCCGGAAAATTAATTCCAAAATTTCATTAATTTCAAAATTTCATTACATTTCAAAATTAGTTTCAAAATTCGGTTTATTCTACTAGGTTTTGGTTTGGCATCGGTTCGGTACAGTAAACCACAGATAAACCACAAAATTCAAAATTTTGGGGACCAAGGTCTTGAACTTTTGATTTGGGGGGAAATTGGAGTTTAACTTCTGATCTGTGTGGACTGCGGTCGATGTCCGAATTCTGTGTAGTTGTGATACTATATGAAACTTTCTAGGGGGACACAGGTCGTTTACCCAATTTTGACTGAAGATCCTAATCATTTAATTAATAAAATAATCATAGATATTATTTTTAATAAAAATAAATATATATAAGATTTGAATGAAAAGTAGTAAAATACATACTACTAATCTATATTTAGTCATATATATAAATATTGGGGTATATTGGGCCTATTGGGTTTAGTTTAATATATGTAAAGATACTTAGGTTAAGCCGTATGACGATTGTGTATAAATGTTCTGTATTTATGAGCAAATAAGAAAGAACCTTCTATATTTCCTACGGTCCTTTCTTCGACACATCAATTATCGATTTATAATCTAGTGGGTTACATAGGGGGTTGGTTGAGCACATTAACATAAAACAATACATTGGGATTCTCACATTTTTCTGAAAAAATTCTATTACAGAAGAAAAAACACAAATATTGTTATTTTGGGAAAATTATAATAGGTCCTAGAATTGGTTGATCTGGCTCTGGTTGGTTAGTTGGTATAAGGTCATTATTGCTGAAGGTGCAATAATTAAAAGAAACAAACAAATAGAAGCTTCATTGGTTTGAAATTACAAGATCGAATATCTAACGTTTGAAGAAATTATTGGTTTCTTAATAGATTCAAATTTGAATAAAGTCTTGTTATTTGTGTCTAACCTTATATAGATCACGTCACATGCATTATCAACGAATGATGTGTAAGCTAGAGGTGGCTGATAAATATGAAGTAAGCAAGTTGAAGACGTAATCATTCAAAATAGTAAGTTGAACTCATCCACATATAATAATTAATTTGGTCATGTTTACGATAGCTCTCAGCAGTAATCACCAATGGGTGATGGATACATGTTATTAGTAATTATCATGTGACTTACCAACAATATTTTCTAACAGTAGCAGTGGTTCGTCAATCAACGAATGATGTTTAAACTAGAGCCTAGAGGTTACAAGATTTCTTCAGTAGTTCGTCGGTAAATATGAGTTTTTTTTTTTAACTGTATAGTGAATTCGGTAAATATGAGTTATTCGTCAATATATTGTTTTAAAGAATTACTAGTCGATCTTTATCAAAGAAAAAGAATCACTAATCGATTATCAACAAATCTTCAATCTATCGAATATCGATAATGTGTAGAAAACATTTTTGATAATTTTTATGACAGATTCATTCGATGGAATCGTTTATTGGTAACGAAAGTGGTATGTTGTAGTAATTGGGATGGGCTTCCCGACGACTAATTAACCAACTGTTAGTAATTACCTTCAACTTTCCGCATGGCATGAAGGTACTCTTGGAGTTTATAATTGATTTTAGTAAACAGCTGATTAAAAAAACTAGCATGCCAATCGCTCGCTTTGGTTATCTTTGCGTCGATCATCACGGTTTGACAACATGTGTTTTCCGCCTGGTGGTGTCATCTAAGTGAATCTTCAAAATTGTTTATCACTTCATTGATTTTGAAAGTGGCATTGTTTTTTGTCGATATCAATTGACTAATTGTTTTTTGTTTTCATGTTTTTTTTTCCCCTATAAAGTTAATTTTGTCTAGTATAAAATTCACATCTTGATTCAGCATTCCAATTTAGATAGTTTAATTCTTGATTTAAAATTTGAAATTATTTAATAAAAAATTATCCTTGCAAAAGCTAAATTGTAGATCAATGATTCTCCGCTTCCATCACATACTTCAAGTGATAATTTCAGTAATTCTGATATGCATGGATCTATCACATACACTCAAATTATTATTCTGAGATTTTAAAAGTTCGAGTCACTGTCTTATCGCTACAATTTGTTACTTACACAAAAATGTTAATAGAGTGACGAGAAATATATACTTTTTTTTTTGAATACAGACGATAAATATATACTAATATACATATCCTAGTTTTAGCAATGAAAAAGATAGATGGCCGACATCCGTAAAAAAAGAAGAAGCTAAAGGACGGTTCTGATTAATTCCAGAAGAACAAATGAGTACGGAGTTTGAAAATATGAGAATATTCCCAGACTATAAATATAGAGGCGAGACATCTAATCTTCTATTCTCCCCCTCTCTATCTAATCTTCCTTGGTCAACAAGCTTCAAACACAACACTCAAAATAATGCCACTTCCATCTATCATCCTCTCCCTGCTGGTGATCTTCTCAACTATCTCTTGTACACACTCCAAAGAAGCTCGACTTAGTGTTTTCCCAAAAAAACTAAGGTACACATTTGATGGGGAGAAATTGCACGACAACTTTGCGGACTTGGGTATCGAAATTTTCTTCTTTGAACAAACCCTTGACCACTTCACCTACACTCCGGGAAGTTACAAGAAGTTCCGACAAAGATATGCCGTCAATTCCAAGTATTGGGAAGGTGGAAAATCCAATGCACCTATCCTAGCTTATCTTGGAGCAGAATCTTCTTTGGACTATGATTTGAGAGGTCTTGGCTTCCTCAAAGATAATGCTCCTCATTTCAAAGCCCTCATGGTCTACATAGAGGTTGGTATATGTGTGCCTATATACTAATAGTAATGGTATAATTTTATGTGCATATAAATTCTTCTAACGGTATTCAATGTTGTGCAGCATAGGTTTTACGGAGAAACTATGCCATTTGGGTCGGCGGATGAAGCTTTGAAGAACGCCAAAACCTTGGGATATTTAAACGCCGCTCAAGCCCTTGCCGATTATGCTGGAATTCTTCTGCACATTAAGGAGGCATACTCAGCTAAACACAGTCCGGTAATAGTTATTGGAGGGTCCTATGGCGGAAGTAAGTTTACGTTTTACTACGCCTTATTCGTCTACTATTTTACAAACCGTTTGTATTCCATGTATATTTTTACATATAATTATAAACAAAAAAAATCAGAAGTCAGAACGATGGTATATGGTGAGTGTGATCATAAGAATCGCTGCTCTTAAACATGCTATATATATTTGTTTTGAAAATATATAGTTATTCTTTCAATAGTCTTGGTAAAAATAATTGACATATATGTAAAATAGTTTTGGAATGAAATTTGGTCTTCTCACTTTCCCTAATGTTCCATTCCTCTTTCACTATATGGATATTTAGTTTAGCATGATAAAATATTATGCTTCAAATAATTATTTGATTTTTGAAAATATATAGTTATTCTTTCAATAGTCTTGCTAAAAATGATTGACATTTATGTAAACTAGTTTTGGAATGAAATTTTGCTCTTCTCACTTTCCCTAATATTATGCTTCAAATAAGTATTTGATATTATTTTTAATTTCATGGTGTGGCACACAAAGTGTTGGCAGCTTGGTTCAAGCTAAAATACCCACACATAGCGCTCGGGGCTTTAGCATCCTCAGCCCCTCTCCTCTATTTTGAAGACACACTTCCAAAACATGGTTACTTTTATATAGTAACCAAAGTTTTCAAGGTAACAAAAAATAGTTCAATAGGTCCACAACATGCATTACTCATATTCTTTTGCTAACATTTGGTCCTTAAGGAAACGAGCCAGAAATGTCATAACAAGATACGTAAATCTTGGGATGAAATAGACAGGATTGCTGCCAAACCCAACGGTCTGTCAATCCTCAGCAAAAAATTCAAGCTGTGCAAGTAAAAAGATTCTCCCAATTTTATATACAGTATATTTTTTGAACAATATAATCTATCATATTTTACTAATTAAATTTTTATCTTTTTTATGTTGATTCATTAGTCCTTTGAACGACACCATTGAACTCAAAAGCTATCTGAGTAACATATACGCCGTGACAGCTCAATACAACAACAATCCGGATTCGGTTGCCAGCTTGTGCGAGGCTATTAACACCAGCCCACCAAACCCTAAGAGTGATCTACTAGACCAGATCTTCGCAGGTAATTGTTTTCCTCTTTTGTTAATAGTTAACTTATATTAAATATTGCTGAGGGATAATAGATCATAAAAGTTTCTTCTACGCAGGTGTGGTTGCTTCTATGGGTAATATTTCTTGTTATGGTATGTCGTCGGATCAGATCACAAATGACGTCAGGGCATGGACATGGCAGGTGAATTTTTCTGTCACAAAAATTAGTACAACCTAGTAGCTAATATATACATAACAATTGTGTTTTATTAACTCGTCCAACTAGTTTATGAATTAAAAATGCACACTATAATTATACAGAGTTGCAGCGAAATGGTTATGCCCATAGGATATGAGAAAGAAGATACTATGTTCCAACCGAAACCTTTCAATATGAGCAGTTTTACTAAAAACTGCGAATCACATTACGGTGTCTCACCTCGTCCGCATTGGGTCACGGCATACTTCGGTTCTCAGGTGCTTATAATTCTATAGATGTTATAACTAGTTTCAATATCTATCTTATTAATAAATTTCAAGTAGCTAGTACTTAATTAAGGTTAATACATTGTATATGTATATTTGTAGGACGTTAAGTTAATTTTTCGACGATTTGGCAACAACATAATCTTCTCCAATGGGTTGTTAGATCCATATAGTGTCGGCGGGTAACTCTATTCTATTCATAAAATTTTAAATATAAGTTATATAGAAATATAAATATATATATATTTAATGTGTTTGCAAAATTATGAGTTTGTTCATATATTTCACTATTTCAGCGTATTGGAGGATATCTCAGACACGGTTGTTGCCATCACGACAAGAGAGGGTAAATTATTAGATATAATTTTTTTAATTAAGCGTTTATCCAAAGGTACATGAACTCTCACTAATATTCGATATATGTTTTTAATATATGAGCGAGCAGGCTCTCATTGTCAGGACATTGTCTTGAAGAGCAAGGAGGACCCGGAGTGGCTGGTGATGCAAAGAGAGAAAGAAGTTAAAGTAATTGATTCTTGGATTTCAACTTATCAAAAAGATCTTAACATATCTAGTTAAAGTTCTTTGGTTGTAATATGATAAAAAAAAACATATGTGAATCAAAATTGGCTGTAATATAATTAACGTATCGTATTTAGTATTTACTCTTTTTCTTTGTTGGTCAAGGGCTCGGGTTTGGTAATTGGCTTCTAATTAGAGATATGAATTAGGATCGTAAATCTTATAATGAAGTGGGTTAAAGCTATATATAAATCACGCGAGGACTTCGTATTATTCATGGGCTCACGCGGAAATGGCCCATTGTGTTTTGAATGATGCAATTTAATTAGTCATACAGTTAATATAAAGCTCAATTTTCTAAGACATGGGCCAAATGCTTTGAGTGTCTTACCACTCTTTCACGGCCACCACCACCACCATATCTACTACTATATTCTTTGATGCATCAAAATTGATAGATAACTTTGGATCTCAGTTTTCTTGACATTTATTGATTTGCGTACTAAAAGTAAAACCTGAACTTATATGCTTGTATTCATCTAGTACTATCAAATGTTTAAAAAGAAAATCATTGAAGTGTCAATCTTATTTATATCCGGTGATTTACTCTACACGAAAACACACAACAACAACAACGAAAAAAAACATGCATTTTAATGGGTTTACAAACCAAAATCCTATAGTTCTTTGTTAGAATGGAATGTACAATTTATCATAGTACATAAATTCTACGGTTGCCGGGTTCTCTTTCTACAACCTTTTTGATATGATAGGCCTTTACACTTTTAGAGAGCTCATTTAAATTATATGAACATTATATATGGTTAGTTTACACTTTATTCTCCGAATTACCTTCTTTTGTTTGGGTTAGTTTTATAAAAAAAACATGTACCACTTGCCAGTTTGAGTATTGTCTTACAATTGCTAATTGTTAAAAGCAAAGTAGATGGGAAAGCAAAGTAAATGTGACAAAAATGTTCTAAAGCGACAATAAAAATTAACTCATCTATCTCTAGAGCTGAAGCAAAGAACCTCTAGATACAACTACAAGCTCTTCTTCATAATCGATTTAACATGTAAATATGAGACACATCTTGTTTTTTCACATACATAAGTCATAATCAGATATTCCTCAATGAGTTGTTAATTGATTTCACACCAAAAGTAATAATTTTTACTCACAAAAAGCCCTAAATCAATTCGAACTCAAATTACTCCGTCGAGATGTTCATAATCAAGTAAAGAGCAAAATCCATAAATTTCAAATCTAATCAATTCGAACAAAACCTGTAGCGAAAACTGAAGGAGAAGCTATTGCAAGATTAAAACTTTGTAGTAACGGATAAAAAAGAAGAAGATCTCACTTGTGGGAGATGAGAAGGTCGAGTCGACTCAGTGAAACATTTGGGGGAATTTGGGATTTGCACCGAGTCGCGGAGGTGTATGAACCGAACCGACGATCTGGAAAATCGATATTGGGCTGTAGACAACTTAAATGGGCCTAAACCGTAAACTTATCTAATGACTTATTGGACCGAGTTCGTAAATCTGTTAAATGGAGTATTTGTATAAAATTTGTTTAGTAGATTCCGTACCATCAATAATTAAATATATTTTATTAGTTTTTAATTTTTATTTATCCAAAGGAGTTGTAAATCTCCTTTATACATTGAGATCGAACATAATGATTTGAGAACTGAGAGTATCAACATTTACTTCTGCACTCTCTTTCACAATCTACGTTACCGCCACATTTGAAATGACAATTCCTTAAGCATACAGGGTCTGGAACTGTTTGACGAGGTTGATTAATTACTATTTCCTTCCTGCATACATCCAGAAATCATGTGTTAACATAAAAACGTGTATATAAACTTAGTTTATAAGTTATAAAGAAAATTAATAAAATTTAAGATATTTATGTAAATGTGAGTGTAAGATACGTACTGTGAGGGGGATGCATGAGGGTCTTCCTCTGACAAGATTTCCCTTCCATTGCATGCTTTTAGATGACATCCTGTCATTATCAATGTCATCATCATCATCATCATACACAATCTTTGCGCCATTCTTTTACAAACCTTGTTTCGTTAGATTTGGAGTTTTTAAAAATGATGTTTATTGTTTGATATATGATTTGTATATATATATATATACACATATATGTGTATTGCCATCATAATACATTTATTAGTTTTGCTGGTTTGACTTGAATATAATTAATTTTGTAACTTTTTTTAATTTCAATCCTAATCTTTTTATTAAAATAATTAATCACTAATTATTTTATTAATACTAAATAGTTTATATTAGAAATGCATAACTTTGTCACATATTTACTTTTCTTTTTTGGTTTGACTTAAATACAACTTAATTTTGTACAATAATTATTTGAATAGCAATCTCTGGTTATACTCTTTATTTTTATATACTATACTAATTGGAGAAAATGCAAATTTATGACTGAAGATCCTAATCATTAATTAATAAGATAATCATAAATATTATTTTTGATAAAAAGAAATATATATAAGATTTGAATGAAAAAATACATACTACTAATCTATATTTAGTCATACATAATAATTGATAATTGAGTATTAAAGTAATTGGAGTTGAGTGTTTAGGTTTTTAATAGACTCTAATTTGAATAAAGCCTTGTGTTTGTGTCTAGGCTTTTGTAGATTCATGTCACTTGCATTATCAAAGATTGATGTGTAAGTTCATGCACTAATTACTCAAATTACAATTCTCCAAAATTTAAATGCTAGTATATCTTGATATTCTTAATTGATTGTATATTTATTTTTGTGTCATCAAACTTTTTAAATTTAAACATATATATATTTATCAAATCAATGAGATAAACTATATATATAAAACATTTCAGTTTATCCTAAACTTTATTCTTTATTTTTCAAATGATAAACTATATATATGTTATAATGAAAGAAGTTGATTTTGTTTTAAATATAATAATTAAAAAAATGTTTTAAATATAATACAATTTATATAACAATAATTATAATTTCCAATAACATGGTTATTATTGACTTACATTTTAAAGGCTCCTAATACAATGCATTTCACCCTTTTTCGAGTGGTCCTTCCTTCGACACATCAATGATCGAATATCACACAACGAATGATGTGTAAGTAAGTTGAAGACGTAATCATTCAAAAAAAGTAAGTTGAACTCATCCACATATAATAATTTGGTCATGTTTTTGTTTTGTTTTTCTTCTTTTTCTTAAAAAAGTACCATTTATATATGATCTTAGTCGGTTACAAAGAACAAGCAAGAGACATTGTTTTCCAGACTCGAGTACTGTGTACTAATAAGAAGGCCAAGCTATTGAAAACTTTCAAACCAAAGCCACAAATGATTCATGAGAGCAAGTAGGAGTAGTCATAGATGTAAGAGTTGGAGTCGGCTTATCTAGTCCAACTAGCCTTCTCCGGAGTAGCAGCTGGATATCTCTCTTGAGTAGAGTTTCAGTGCGAAATGTGGAAGTGTGAATTCGCAGGTTGCGCTCAGTCCATAATTTGGTCATGTTTATGATCGATAACTCTCAACAGTAATCACCAGTGGCTTATTCGTTGGTAAATTTATTGATGGAGACATGTTATTAGTAATTATCGTGTGACTTACCAACAATGTTTTCTGACAACAGCAGTGGTTCGTCAATATTTATGGACGAGTTTCCGACATACAAGATTTCTTCCGTAGTTCGTCCGAAAATATGAGTTATTCGTCAAATTTTTTTAGAAAGAATTACTAATCGATCTTTATCAAAGGAAAAGAAAAGGAAATACTAATCGATTATCAACAAATCTTCAATCTATCGATAATCTGTAGAAAACGTTTTTGATAATTTTTATATGACCGGGTCATTCATTGGAATCGTTTATTGGTAATTAAAGTGTTATGTTGTAGTAATTGGGATGGACTTCCCGATTACTAATTAACAAACTGCTATGCTACCTTCAACTTTCCGCATGGCACGATGTTACTCGTCGAGTTTGTAACTGATTTTAGTAAACAATTGATTAAAAAATTAGGATGCCCTAAAGTTATGTATCTACTATATAAAATCATATATTGATTCAACATTCCAATTTAGATTTAATTCTTAATAGACTTTTTTTTAATATATTTTACCCTCGCAAAATTAGCTAAATGCATGGTAGATCCATGATTATCCGCTTGTGATAATTTCAGCAATTCTGATATGCATGGATCTACCACTTACACAGTTACACTCAACATTATTATTCTGAGATTTTAAAAGTTCGAGTCACAATCATATCGCTACAATTTGTTACTTACACAAAAATGTTTATTAGAGTGACGAGAAATATATACTTATCCTAGTTTTAGCAATGAAAAAGCTAGATGGCCGACAACCCTAAAAAGAAGAACAAGCTAAAGGACAGATATAATTAATTAGAAAAGAACAAATGAGTACGGAGTTTGAAAATATAAGAATATTCTCCAGACTATAAATATAGAGGCGAGACATCAACGTAAACACACACAAAAACTAAACATTTGTATTATCCCCTTCTCTCTATCTAATCTATTTCCTTGGTCAACAAGCTTCAAACACAACACAGATTGCAAATTAATATCCCTTCGCAGTTTGTCTCTTTTCTCTCAATCTACTCAAAAATAATGTCACCTCCATCTATCATTCTCCTTCTGTTGTTGATCTTCCCAACTATCTCTCGTACACACTCCAAAGAAGCTGAACTTAGTATTTTTCCAAAAACACTAAGGTACACATTTGATCGGGATAAATTGCACGACAAATTTGCGGACTTGGGTATCGAAATTTTATTCTTTGAACAAACCCTTGACCACTTCACCTACACTCCGGGAAGTTACAAGAAGTTCCGACAAAGATATGCCGTCAATTCCAAGTATTGGGAAGGTGGAAAATCCAATGCACCTATCCTAGCTTATCTTGGAGCAGAATCTTCATTGGACTCTGATTTGAGCGTTCTTGGCTTCCTCAAAGATAACGCTCCTCATTTCAAAGCCCTCATGGTCTACATAGAGGTTGGTATACGCGTGCCTATATATATACTAATGGTAATGTACATATTAATGCGTCTTAACGGTATTCATCAATGTATTGCAGCATAGGTTTTACGGAGAAACTATGCCATTTGGGTCGGCGGAGGAAACGTTGAAGAACGCCAAAACCTTGGGATATTTAAACGCTGCTCAAGCCCTTGCGGATTATGCTGCAATTCTTCTGCACATTAAGGAGACATACTCAGCTAATCACAGTCCGGTAATAGTTATTGGAGGATCCTATGGCGGAAGTAAGTTTACGTTTGACCACGTCTTATTTGTCTACTATTATACAAACCGTTTGTATTCCATATATATATTTATATATTATAAACAAAAAACAAAAATCAGAACGATGGTATATGTGGGTGAGTGTGATCATATAAGCATCACTGCTCTTAAACATGCTATATATATTTGTTTTGAAAATATATAGTTTTTCTTTTAATAGTTGATTACTAAAAATAATTGACATCTAACATAATCTAATTTGGAACGAAATTTGCTCTTCTCACTTTCCCTAATGCTCCATTCCTCTTTCACTATATGGATATTTAATTTAGGATGAGAAAATAAAAAATAATAATAATTATTTTGACTTTATTTTCAATTTCATGGTTTGGCACACAAAGTGTTGGCAGCTTGGTTCAAGCTAAAATACCCACACATAGCGCTCGGGGCTTTAGCATCCTCAGCCCCTCTCCTTTATTTTGAAGATACACTTCCAAAACATGGTTACTTTTATATAGTAACCAAAGTTTTCAAGGTAACTAAAAAAAGTTCAATAATTATACTGTCCACAACATACATTATTACATTTTTTTTTCTAATGTCCTAAAGGAAACGAGCCAGAAATGTCATAACAAGATACGTAAATCTTGGGATGAAATAGATAGAATTGCTGCCAAACCCAACGGTCTATCAATCCTCAGCAAATACTTCAAGCTGTGCAAGTAAAAAGATTTTCCCAGAGTATATAATTTTGAAAAATATAATCTATCATATTTTACTAATTAAATTTTATCTTTTTATGTTGATTCATTAGTCCTTTGAACAACACCTTTGAACTCAAAAGCTATCTGAGTTACATATACGCCGGGACAGCTCAATACAACAACCGCAATCAGTTTTCGGTTGCCAGCGTGTGCGAGGCTATTAACACCAGCCCACCAAACACTAAGAGTGATCTACTAGACCAGATCTTCGCAGGTATTTTTTTTTTTTTGTTAATAGTTAACTTATATTAAATATTGCTGAGGGATAGCTCGGCATGATGATGAGGCTTCATACAAGTTTCTTCTACGCAGGTGTGGTTGCTTCTAGGGGCAATATTTCTTGTTATGGTATGTCGTCGGATCAGATCACAAATGACGTCAGGGCATGGAGATGGCAGGTGAATTTTTCTGTCAAAAAAAATATTAAAACCTAGTAGCTAATATATACATAACAATTGTGTTTTATTAACTCGTCCAACTAGTTTATGAATTAAAAATGCACACTACAATTATACAGAGTTGCAGCGAAATAGTTATGCCCATAGGATATGAGAAAGAAGATACTATGTTCCAACCGAAACCTTTCAATATGAGCAGTGTTACTAAAAACTGTGAATCATATTACGGTGTCTCGCCTCGTCCGCATTGGGTCACCGCATACTTCGGTTCTCAGGTGCTTATAATTCTATATATGTTATAACTAGTTTCAATATCTATCTTATTAATAAATTTCAAGTAGCTAGTACTTAATTAAGGTTAATACATATATGTATACTTGTAGGACGTTAAGTTAATTTTTCGACGATTTGGCAACAACATAATCTTCTCCAATGGGTTGTTAGATCCATATAGTGTCGGCGGGTAACTTTATTTTTTTCATAAATTTTTAAATAAGTTATATATATATAGTGTTTGCAAAATTATACTAAGTTTGTTCATATATTTCAGCGTATTGGAGGATATATCCGACACTGTAGTTGCCATCACGACAAGAGACGGTAAATTATTAGATATAATGTTTTAATTTTAAGCGTTTATCCAAAGGTACATGAACTCTCACTACTATTCGATATATACATTGAGCAGGCTCTCATTGTCGGGACATTGTCTTGAAGAGCAAGGAGGACCCGGAGTGGCTGGTGGAGCAAAGAGAGAAAGAAGTTAAAATAATTGATTCCTGGATTTCAACTTATCAAAAAGATCTTAACATATCTAGTTAAAGTTCTTTGGTTGTAATATGATAAAAAAACATATGTAAATCAAAATTGGCTGTAATATAATTAACGTATCGTTTTTAGTATTTACTCTTTTTCTTTGTTGGTCAAGGTTTCGGGTTTGGTAATTGACTTCTAATTAGAGATATGAATTAGGATCGTAAATCTATAATGAAGTGGGTTAAAGCTGTATATATAAATCCCGCGAGGACTTCATATTATTCATGGGCTCACGCGGAAATGGCCCATTGTGTTTTGAACGATGCAATTTAATTAGTCATACAGTTAATATAAAGCTCAATTTTCTAAGACATGGGCTCAAATTACAAGGTCCAAATGCTTTGAGTGTCTTACCACTCTTTCACGGCCACCACGGGTCCACGGCCACCATAAATTAAATGTTTTTTTTTAAAAAACTATTGATGAACAATCCATAAAGGTTATATTAAGAGATAAAAGATGAACAACACAAAAAACAAAAAAACCTAAAATAAAATTATACTAACTGATATAAATATTAGCAGAGCCGGACCAATGAAATCCGGGGCCCCATACGGATCCGTAGGTTCATGACTTGCAGAGAAATTATAAAGAATAATTTACTTTTTTTTAACTAAATTGTATATAATATTTTGGGCCACACAATAATTTAGGATCTATCTATACGAAACTTACAATTTCTTCACATTATCAAAAATCAGTATATGCATATATAACTAAAATAGAATTTCTGTGGAGCCCCTCTAAAGTGGGGCCTCATTGTAATGCATCATCCTAATGTGTGTAGATCCGGCTCTGAATATTAGACATATATAATTCATATATTATTTTTTCTTGACATTTATTCATTTGCGTACTAAAAGTAAAACCCGAACTTATATGCTTGTATTCATCTAGTATTATCAAAGTTTTAAAAGAAAATCACTGAAGTGTCACTCTTATTTTTATCCGGTGATTTACTCTACACGAAAACACACAACAACAACAACGAAAAAAAACAAGCATTTTAAGGGGTTTACAAACCAAAATCGTATAGTTCTTTGTTAGAATGGAATGTACAATTTATCATAGTACATAAATTCTACGGTTGCCGGGTCCTCTTTCTACAACCCTTTTGATATGATAGGCCTTTACACTTTTAGAGAGCTCATTTAAATTATATGAACATTATATATGGTTTTCACTTTATTTTCCGAATTACCTTCTTTTTTTTGGGTTAGTTTTATAAATATAATAACATGTCCCACTTGCCAGTTTGAGTGTTGTCTTACAACTGCGAATTGTTAAAAGCAAAGTAGATGGGAAAGCAAAGTAAATGTGACAAAAATGTTCCAAAGCGACAATAAAAATTAACTCATCTCTCTAGAGTTGAAGCAAAGAACATCAGAATCCAAGTATCTTGCATCACAAGTATCTACTCTATATATACAAACAAATAAACCAATGTGTGACCACAAGCCCAACCTAGAACCAATGCCGTTGATGAAAACTTCGCCACCGCAGCCACTGCGCCGCCCTAGCCTTGTATGCTACATTTTTCTCGTCATACTAACTCTAATCTTCATGGTAGCTGTAGGTTTTCTCATTACCTGGCTTGTAACCAAACCCAAGAAACTTCATTACACGGTTGAAAACGCCTCGGTTAGAAACTTTAACCTTACCAACGACAATCACATGTCAGCTACATTCAAATTCACCATCCAATCGCACAACCCTAACCCCAGAATCTCGGTTTACTACAGTTCCGTCGAGATATTCGTTAAATTCAAGGACCAGACACTTGCGTTCGACACGATGGAGCCGTTTCACCAACCGCGGATGAACGTTAAGCAGATTGATGAAACGTTGATTGCGGAAAACGTTGCCGTTTCCAAATCCAATGGTAAGGATTTGAGGTCTCAAACTTCGTTGGGAAAGATTGAGTTTGAAGTTTTTGTTAAGGCGAGGGTTAGATTTAAAGTGGGGATATGGAAGTCATCACATCGTACGGCTAAGATTGAGTGTTCTCATGTCACTGTCTCTTTGTCGCAGCCAAACCAGTCCCAAAATAGTTCGTGTGATGCTGATATATGATTAGTAAGTTTGCATTGTCAGTTCATTGATCGTGTTGTCCGCAACAGGTTATGCTCCATCAAGAGTCATGGTAACTCGAATCTTGAAGATGGACTGCGTTTATTTTCAGCTTTAAGATCTACTCAAAGATGCATATAATAAAAAAATCGATTTCTTTTTGGGTTGAATAAATTTAATATTTCATTCAAAAAAATGTTTGCATTGTCACACTAATAATCGTATTGTTATGTTATGCATGAACGAATATTTACATTTATACGTTTTCTTAACGTCTAATCTAAATTTCATTTCTATTTTTTGTTGGGGTCAAATAATTCTCTAACAACAGTAGGTACTAAAAAAAGAAAAATTTACACCCTGAAGTTTAAAATATGTCTATTGATATATATAGAGAGTACTTTTCATAGGTAGATACTGCAAAATAACGTAAAAGATACTAATTTAACCTGATCTGATCTACACAGTTTTATGAGATTATGGACTCCAATTTTTCATTAGTACATTTTTTTTTTCACAATTAGTTCTTTATTTAGTTGCATGAAAAGATTACAAGGGTGCTTATGGCCCAAATTGTGATTTTAAGCCTAATTAAACACACATATTTTGGAACCCATATTTCTAGCCCAATTCAAGATAATGTAAAGGTGGAAGCCCAAAGCCGAAAGATGAGATTGAAAAGATCATCAATCCGTACAACCGATTCTCTTGTTTAGTTTGATAAGATAATGTATCAGCTTCTTCGAAGAGTGTTCATACCCAAACCAGATGGTGATCAGGATTGTTGTATAAAAAACACTAATGCGGATTGATATGATGAAACGTTGATTGCGATTTGCGCAGAACGTCGCCGTTTCCAAATCCAATGGAGGGCTTAAGCTTTGTTGCTAATGCGGATTGATATGATGAAACGTTGATTGCGATTTGCGCAGAACGTCGCCGTTTCCAAATCCAATGGAGGGCTTAAGCTTTGTTGGGAAGTAGTGGACAAGCACATCGTACGGCTAAAATTGAGTGTTCTCATGTCACAGTCTCTTTGTCGCATCCAAACATATCCCAAAGTAGTTCATGTGATGCTAATATTTAGTTTATAAGTTTAGCATTGTCACACTAATAATTGTATTGCTCATAAGTCATAACTAACTATTGACTTATGTCTTTTACCAAAAAAAAAAAAAACTATTGACTTATGTTATGCATGCGTGAACGAGTATTTATATTTACTCCTTTTTAGCGTCTATGTTTATATGTATACTTTTTGTAGTATTTTTCTTGGATCAAAGAATTCTTTAACAACACTCTATATAGGTAATTTAAAAGATGTACCCCAGCCCCTGAAATTTATAATATTGGTAATAATAGTTTTGAGAATAGAGTTATTTTAAACAATGGTAAATTATTGTTAAATAGAGAGTGTAAAAGAAACAAAAATAAACCTGATTTGATATCCAAATTTTATGAGATTATACTCCAAATAATTTTTGGTTAAAAAAAGAATGAAAATTTGTTGTTAACCATATAAAAAATCAGCATTTAAATCATGGGCCAAAAGACCTTAAGATGACATATTCGCTCATCATGGAATTTCTGACATTTTCAACCTTTCGATTTATAGATATCTCAAAATTTTAAGAGGGGTCTAATAAAAATAGTAAATTATTGCACGAAGTAATAGTATGCAGAAAAAATTCTTTCGAAAATTAGTTAATTCCACAATTTGTAATCTAGGAATGCAAATCTGAATATACTTTCGTTGTCTTTTGACGACCTAATTAACCATCTTTAGATAGCACCTGGAATTAAACACATTTATAATTTTACAATATAAATTTATATTGATAAACCTCTATTTTAATCTTACGTAAAAGCATCGTGAATACAGGAAAAGAAAGATAGCTCATTCTGATTAAAAGTGTTGGCATGAAAGAGACATAATAATTATGTGAAATGTGAACACAGACTAGCTGGTCTAAACCTAATCGAAGAATAGCAATATAAGTCAGCAAAACATAATAAAAAAACTAACAAAATTCCCTCCTCTGTTTCAAATTGATCTATGTTTTAGATCTTTTAGACATATTTAAGAGTTGTGTTCAAAAAATAAAAGACATATTTAAGAGTTTTTTCACACATATTGAAAAATTTTATGATATAAAAATTAAATTTCGTTTATATTTAATATTTGATAATTTTTTTCTTTAAATAATAAATATTAGAGAAATAAATTGAGAAAAAGAATAATAACTACAACTAGAAAATTAAAAACATGCAACTTTTTGAAACAATTTTTTTTTAAAACATGATTAATTAGAAATAGAGGGATATATGTCGAAGAAAATAAGTTATATTCAAGCCGTAGCATGTATGATATTAAAATGATCTCTGAAAAAAATTATTATTTGCCTCCGATCAAATATTCTCACTTGGACATCGACCGTTTCTCGCAAGTCGCAACTATAACTACCAATAGCGAACCCATTTGTCACAATGACACCATCAAATATGTTCACTGGCAACATGCTACTAGTAAATAAATTGAAGCTCTAAACGTTATCTAATTTGAACAATAATCTATCGAGATAAGAATGAGAATATTCAGTTATCTTATTCCTATTCCTAAATAGACATGGAATTGTTGTGTATTCAATAAAGGCATTCCATTCAAGTCGTTGTTTATTGACATATTAGAAAATTGATATTTGTATATACATCACAATCACATCATGAAAATTATTACTATTTGGTCTATGGTCTCAAAGTTGAAGATTCGATTATTAAAAATAAAGAAAAATGAAAGTGGAAGTCTGGGCAAAGGCACCACTATACGATAAGTTGATAACATTAACAATTATATACATAAAGGATAAAGAAAACATGATTGCAGATTTATAAAGAAAGCATGTAAATTTGTGGTGCCAAATGCAATGAATGAAAAAGAAGAAGAAGTACGCAATGAACATATATGCCTATCGCTTTGCACGCACAACCTTTACAACATGACAACATATCGATCTTGTAATGACAGAGAAATTGTATTCAGTTATATTTTGTATATAATTATAAATTCAAGCATATCATAAATTATTTTAACTATAAACAAACATATCATAAATTATCTTCTACACACATTCTTTATTTATCGATTTAAACATTTCTAAATTCTAGATAAGTTGAATATACAACAGCAAAACCATTATTCTTAACCTTGAACCATTAGATCGGCGTGAATTTAAAAACAATATACATATATGCCATATAGAAATTTCGTAATGGCTTGGTATATAAGACAATAATTAAGTGTGATATGATTCTTAACCTCAACTAAAGATGTATTTTCTTTTGACATTATTTGGTTTCTATACATTAAAGATGTACATATTTTTCTTTCATATATATTTAATTTTAACAAAGTTTTAATTTTTAATCAAAAAACTGTTAATTTCACCTTCAAATTTTAAATTTTACTTATTATACTTTTTTTGCCCAATTTTTTTTTTAAATTATATATCTTGTTGTTTATGATAAAATGTCACCCCATGTGAAGCAAATTTGGTAGATATATTTAGAGACCTAAGACATAAAAGTTGGCTAATATTTTTTCTTTGGGTTACATAAGATCGCAGTTTTAGAATTAAATGATTTGTTTAAAACATCATCATTAGAACGCATAATTTTTCCAAAGTCATCATTTTACATAGATAAGATAGAATTTGGATGATATGAAAAATATATATTTAAACATATATACATGCATATCACGTTTGATGTTTTATAAAAAACAATTAATCGCTCAAAAGGCAGAGACTCATCTAATACAGAATTTAGTGCAAGACAACTTTTGGGATCTATATAATAAAGGTTTTCTTGCATGAATTTGGGAAGCCAACTTAGTGAACATTAATACATCACACTAAGTTACTAAGTTAAAACAAAACACTCTAAAATGTCATTTCCATTTACAATTCTCCTTCTTTTAAAGTTCTTAACATCGTCATCTTTTTTCATCACTCCCGCACACTCCAAAATCGGGCGACTTGGGATATCCCCAAATATGCTAAAGAATGCACCCAAAAAAACAACACAAAAAGATGATGAATCTGATCTTAAATTTTTTTACTTTAATCAGACCCTCGACCATTTCACATTCACACCGAAAAGCTACATGACATTTCAACAAAGATATGCCATCGATGCCAAGCATTGGGCTGGTGCTAAAGCGAACGCACCAATCTTAGCATTTCTTGGACTGGAAGCGTCGTTAGAGACTGATTTGGCTGCCTTTGGTTTTCTTAGTGACAACGCTCCTCATTTTAAAGCGCTCAAAGTCTATATAGAGGTGTGTGTTTCTATATATAGTTGTGCGGTTCTATCAATCTGTTGTAGTGTTTGTATATGATTGCATACAATATATAATGCAGCATAGGTATTATGGGAATACGATTCCATTTGGATCGGCAAAAGAAGCAATGAAGAACGCGAGTACGTTGGGGTATTTGACCACAGCTCAAGCCCTGGCAGACTACGCTGCAATTCTCTTGCATATTAAGGAGAAGTACTTAGCTAAACAGAGCCCTATCATTGTCGTAGGAGGATCTTATGGTGGAAGTAAGTATATATATAGATATATATATATATATATATATATATATATATATATATATATATATATATATATATATATATCATATGTGCAAATTCTCATAATAATGTTTTTTTGAGATTAATATAAAAATTTAAATGTGTTATAAAAGCTGTAAATACTTTTCCTTTTCGTTAATTATTTCGTTTTAGTTTTGTTTATGTATAATAATTAGGTTTAATTATTTTGTTGAAAAAAAGAACTCAACGGCTCAACCTCAAAACTTATTTATAAGAAACCACTTTAACTTCACCAAAACACTATAAAGAAACATTTATGAAATGGATACCGAATTGGTTTTATGAAAATAAAAGGCCGAAAACATGAGCTTGTCTAGCTTGGCTCAAGGGCCGACCAATCATTTGTTTTATGTTTTTCTTTATATGATACAAAGGTATATGAAATAATCATTTGTTTTATGTTTTCTTTGGTATATTTGTTTCATGGGTACACAGTGTTAGCAGCATGGTTTAGGCTAAAATATCCGCACATAGCACTCGGGGCATTAGCATCTTCAGCTCCTCTTCTCTACTTTGAAGATACTCGTCCTAAATTTGGTTATTATTATGTTATAACCAAAGTTTTCAAGGTAATCAGAATTATTAAATTATTAGACCATATATTGGAGTTTGTTTTTGTTTTATCACTATTATTATATTTATATATGTTGCTAGTCTTAACTAATTTTTGTTACATCCTTCTCTTTATGTTCCTAACATATATTTCTTTAGGAAACGAATAAGAGATGTTACAACACGATCCGCAAATCCTGGGAAGAAATTGATAGAGTTGCTGCCAAACCCAACGGTTTATTGATCCTCAGCAAAAAATTCAAAACTTGCACGTAAGAAAATATTTATTTTAATTTTGTATTTTTAATTAATCTACTGTTAAAAACTTAAACTATTCCTTGAAATTAATTGACAGTCCATTAAGTAGAAGCTTTGATCTTAAAGACTTCTTGGACACGATATATGCTGAAACTGTTCAATACAACGATGGTTTTTGGGTGACCAGCGTGTGCAATGCAATCAACGCCAATTCACCAAACCGTAAAATTGATATACTCGACCGGATTTTCGCAGGTGTTGTCGCTTTAATAGGCAACCAATCTTGCTATAATACCAATTATTCTGTGCATGTCACAAACAATGATATGGCATGGAGATGGCAGGTATGTAAATTACACATTAATTAAAAGGCATATTAAAACCCGATTTAACATATAGATAAAAGATTACATAAACTAAATCTACATGAATAATCTACATATAGTGCTGCAGCGAGATAGTGATACCGGTGGGACATGACAAACAAGACACAATGTACCAAACATCACCGTTTAATATGACCAGTTACATTGAAGACTGTGAATCTTCTTATGGAGTCCGTCCTAGGCCACATTGGATAACAACGTACTTCGGCATTCAGGTATATATGATAAATTAACAAATTTAAAAGTCATATATATTCAAGTCTATGGCACAAGCCTCTAAAATCTCCTTTAAATCTCTCCTACATAGAGATTTTACCAACACATTGATTTACTTGGAACATACCAAATTAACGTTTATATACCCGGTTTTATTAATGTTATAAGTTGAACTTACATAAAAACTACATTTATTTGGCAATTACTCAATCTAGTCTACCCTAAAATTGATCCCGGCTAAAACTTAGTTTAAGTCTAATTCCCTTGCTTCTATTCACCCTATCGTGAAACCACAAAACAATTACAAGTACAAGTGAGAAACACCCAACTGTGAATCAATCGATAATACCCTACCGTGATATCAAGAACTTGTAGAACACTCACTTTCTCAGCTTATTGTTTTCTGAAACTTCGAAGAACAAAACCCACACACAAGAGTCAAGTGTTAATGGCGGCATATGGCCTCTTATGACTACTTATACAGTCCATGAAAACCCTAAGATCAAGCATTCTTAGAACCATAGTCATTGCCCCTGTTGGAGTGAACAATTAAATTAAAAATAGTTAATTGTATACTATCTACAACAAAAAGTAAAGTCATGTGAATCACTTACCTGCTTCTAGCTAGTGCATCCTGAAGCACTTTGATGGCCAGTTTCATATATCTTTGGACCAACTTTGGTAACAGTGGGATGAAATTAATTACTTACTATGAAATATATGTAATGCAGGATGTCAAGTTAATCCTTCGAAGATTTGGGAGCAACATCATTTTTTCTAATGGATTGTCAGATCCTTATAGCGTTGGCGGGTAAATAACTTGTTCCTAATTATTTGAACAGAGTATTAGTGAATCGATGTGTACAAGGTTTTATGCATTTTTTTAATATATTTCAGAGTTTTGGAAGATCTTTCAGATAGTGTAATCGCTATCACGACAAAAAATGGTAATTTATTAAATTTTCAGTTTTAGTTAAATATTTTATCCAACAAATTGTGTTTATGAATATGATGAATACTCCCATAATGGTGATTTTAAAAAAAAATTGTAACATATGAAACAGGTTCACATTGTCAAGATATCAATTTGAAGAGTAAAGAAGATCCGGAGTGGCTGGTGATGCAAAGAGAGAAAGAGATTACAGTTATTGATTCTTGGATTTCAACTTACCAAAATGATCTAAGAAATTTTAACATGTTAATCTAAGTTTAGATATGATATAAAAGATATATAAATCAAAAATTCCTTGCATCCATATAGAAGTAGTTTTTGATATTTGGCTAGTGTTTTGGACTCATATGGTTTTAAGAACCGAAAGCCAAAACCAAAACCAGTATCACGTATGATTTTTGTTAATTATTTTTTTAAAATTTTTTTTGTCATCAATATTACGTATGAATTGATTATATACTTGCCCAAATCAAACCGGTTCACATTTGTAATCCACAATTTTAAATCTCAACCAAGGTCTTCTAAATATCTATATAATAATTGTAGAACATCATAAGATTTTTTGTTTTAGTTTATAATTAGTGTTGAAAAAATTTAATCGTGTTTGTTTATAAGTATAGTAAAGAATTAATTGTAAAGCTTGTTTGCATACATAGATATGAGTACTTAATAATATAGAGATGATTAAGGATTAGATTAGTAATATTCTATTTTTCATTCAATTCTAATTTTTATTAGAAATAAATAAATTATCTTATTAATTAAATGATTAGGATCTTCGGTCATAAAATTACTTTTTCCAATTATTATAGGATATAAAAATAAAGAGTACAAGATATTGCAATTCAAACAATTAGTACAAAATTTATTGACGTCAAGTCAAACCAACAGAAGTAGTAAATGTATACATTTCAAGTATAATATATTTAATCTTACCAGGAAATGATTAATTACTTTAATGATTAAATGGTTAGAATATCTTCAATCATAAATTTACATTGTTTCCAATCTTAGAGAGATTGCAATTAAAAGAAAAGTTACAATAATTACTTATATACAACTCATACATGCAAAACTTAAATCAATATATTTTTTAAGACCTCGTAGATCTTTTTGGTATGCTGAGATCCAAGAATCAATTATTTTGATTTCTTTCTCTCTTTGTCTCACGAGAAACTCCGGATCCCCTTTGCTTTTAAAAACAATGTCTTCACAGTGTGAACCTGATTATATATAGAGGTGTGTGCTTAAAACGAGGTTTAAAACGAGGACCGTTGTCACTATAACGAGGTACATAGAACACACCTCTATGTAGATGAAGAGCGCTTTAAAACGAGGACCGTTGTCACTAAGAAAGCCGATGCCAGACAAATCAGAGTCTAACGACGATTCTTCTCTAATTATTAATATTTTTCATAATTTAGTCTATGACACAAGCCACTAAATTACCATCGTTTAGAAAAACTTTTAAATTGAATTTTTGGAGCTCCTTGTATTTATTGTCTCTAATTTAAATCATAATTTAACTTTTACTATTTTACATATGTTTTGCTTACATTTTGCTTACATTTTGCTTATTATCTTTTTCGTGAATGCTCTGTGTGCTATATGCGGATACTTTAACCTGAACCATGCCGCTAACACTGTTGTACCATAAAATACTATCATTGAGACTTGAGAGTATGGGAGATAATGACGTAAATAATATACTCCTACCCATACAAGGTTTCATATAGTAATTCGTATATGCATATATTTTTTGGTTATATAGTAATCCATATAGGAATATGTTCAAGAGTACGTAACTATATACCACATAAGCCATATAAGTTATGCGTACGATAATTTTATATGATGTATAAACTGGACTTACTTCCACCGTATGATCCTCCTATGACAATGATTGGGCTGTGTTTGGCAGAGTACTTCTCCTTAATGTGCAAGAGAATCGCGACATAGTCTGCTAAGGCCTGTGCTGTGTTCAGATACCCCAATGTACTTGCGTTTTTCAATGCTTCTGCTGCTGATCCAAATGGCATCGTCTTCCCATAATACCTATGCTGCATTATATATACGCGTATTATTTAATAAATAAATTCACAATTACATTCATATATATATATATATATATAAACACACACCTCTATGTAGATGAGGAGCGCTTTAAAACGAGGACCGTTGTCACTAAAAAAGCCGATGCCAGACAAATCAGAGTCTAACGACGATTCTTCTCCAAGATACGCTAAGATTGACGCGTTGGCTTTAGCACCACCCCAGTGTGTGGAATCCATGGCGTATCTCTGTTGAAAAGTCATGTAGCTTGTCGGTGTGAACGAGAAGTGGTCGAGGGTCTAATTAAAATAGTACATTTTAAGACCAGTATCATCTACTTTTTGTGATCCGTCGGGTGAATGTTTTAGCATTTTTGGGGAAATCCCAAGGCGAGCAATTTTGCACTGTGCGAGAGAAATGAAATAAGATGACGATGTTGAAAATATCAACAGAAGGAGAATTGTAAATGGAAGAGACATTTAGAGAGTGTTTCATTTTATCTTGATAACTTAGTGCAGTATATTGATGCTCACTAAGTTGGCTTCCCAAGCTCATGCACCAATATCTTTATATAGATCGCAAAAGTTGTAATTCACTCACTGTATTATGTATTAAATGAGTTATCATGTGCGAATCGTATTCTATATTACGTATATGTGTGCATATTTTAATATTTATATAGGGAATGCAATATAATTAAAGTTCTAGGGTTTTCAGAAAACATGTCTATTTTGAATTTAACCTCACTAAAAATTCCGTAGATTAGAAAGTCAGTTAAATATTCAACTAAAACCAATTTGAAATCATATTTCTGACGAACGATTATCAAACTAGTCTACGTAATCAAGATCTTAAACATACATGCTTTAGTCAACCGCCTAACTAGATTTCTCCTTGCTAGAACTAGGATATGTATATTTCATTATTTCTGGTCACTCTACTAACATTTTTGTGTGGTAGCTAGTAATTTAATGTATACGTTGGTCATTGTATACGATAAGATTGTTGCTCAAATTTTTTAAAATCTCAGACTAAGAAATTTGGTGATGACCATTTAATTTTAATGCGATCATCATTTGTCTTTCTTTAATTTTAATCTTTGTCAGAATTGCTGATTTTTTTTTTCTTTTTGATAATGGTTTACAGGAGCTTGGGAAACTGAATAGATAAAGGCTTATACAGGGTGTAAAACTATCCTGAGCAGCTCCCAAAGAGATGGGAGGGAGGAAGTAAAACTTTTACTGAGTAGCGAGATTGAGATGGAGATGGAGGAGGGGCTTTAGGTGGGGTTTGCATTTTCTTGGTCATCGAGAACGAGAAGTCGCTTTTTCTACAGAACCCTTTGTATATTTTCAATTGCTCAAATTTTCACATCAAGTATGTGGTGGAAGCGTCAAATGAAAAATACTCAAAAATTGCATGTTTAGAGTTATTTAAATAATTTTAAAATCAAGAATAAAACTATACTGGAATGCTGAATCAATATATGAATTTTACACTAGATACACACTTTGTGACATGCTATTTTTTAAAAATCAGTTGTTATTATTACACTTGTACTTTAACAAAGATAAAAAATGAGAGAGCCAATTTTCAAAAAAATCAATAGGTGAATTTTTTTTCAATATCTATTTAATATTTGAGTTAACAATGTCCTTAGATTATATATATGATGAAGCTATAAAATCATGTTTCTCCAGACAAAATTCCGAATTCAAAGTTAAAGTCTGTTAAGAACGAATCAGTCTCCTACATGTTATACTTTCAGACATTGATATTTCAAGCTGTAGGATATATAAAATAAAAATGAATAGTATGATAATGCACATGCACTCATATACAAAATATATAAAGTTTTTTTTTTTGTTAATTGCTTTTTTGAAAGGAAAAAAAAAAGAAAATACACTGAACAATTAGGCATTCAAGAAAATACATAACCTAGAGTTAAAAAAAAAATAAAAATACATAACCTAAATTATTTTTGAAAAAGATATAACGAAGATTGTTAACATAATTTAGGCAACCTTGCTATAAGTAATCAAACATTCAATCATATATCTTCCATTTGTTATTATGATTCATTGATTCTTGTTCGCGTGGGGACAGTTTGCAATTGAGTAATCCAACATCTTTTATAAATATTGGTTCGTGACATCGAACCCTCTTTAATAAATAGAAGTACCGACGAAATCTAACGGTTTTCCAAACTTCTTTTTTTTCCCCCAGTTTTCTACTACTGTATTTTATTTTATTTATAGATTTTTATTGTTTTATATAAAAAATAATAAATAAAATACAGAAACCTATATAGTTAATTTAATAAATTTTAGTAACACTGCAATTATTCTAAAAATAAAACATATAGTAACCAAAATAAACCGTCCTTTTATATACATCCCAAAATTAGATGAAAATCCCATGTTTTCGGCAGTTAAGCAGAACATTGATTACGAACATCTTGAGAATTTGCTTATCATTAAGTATAAAATTTACCACGACTGTCAAATATATTATAGAATTGGACATCTAACTTATCTTGGAATACCATTTTGGTTGTACTAGTAGTTTTCGTGGTTTTTCTTATCAGGTAATTCCATATAATAATCTCCTATTGCATAGAACAAACCCTGTCAAAATTATGTGAACAGAACCTAGTGCTTTTTGAGCAACAATTATTCTAATTTTACAACTTTACATATACTCCACTTATTCTTTTCTTTTTTTGAACAAAATACTCCACTTATTCGTGGCCTCACCATTTCGATGTTTTTTTCTTTTCTTCATAATGTCTCCATTCAATGTTGAAGACAGATATCAGCTACAACACTTACAGGTAATAATGAATATAAGCCACATATTTTTGTTAGGCAAATATATATTCGTTTACAGAAAACTGAATTACTACACAAAATCTCTTAGAAGGAAAAAGGACTCCACTAAAACAAGCTATCTTCAAAGAAACAATGGCGTACATTTTACATCTTAGGGTTTACACTTTACAGGAGCCATATTTACCAACAAATAAAGAAAAATCATGAATTTGTTCCAAAAGTGAATTTGAATTTGTTTTTGACCTTTCAAATTTTATAAGGATATTTAGGTAACTTTGCCATTAAAGAAAACTAGGAAGTCGACCCGTGCGTTACCGCACAGTAAATTAAAATTTAAATGAATTAACATTGCTAATTTATTCTATATTCTAATTCTTTATTGTATAAGAAAATATATATAAAAACTTAGTATTGCCAAAATTAAAAAAACCGACGATGTAACAAAACTCTACGTAACAACATAAATAAAGCATGATCATGCATATTGCAATAATTATTGCAAAAACTAAGTTAAGTTTTAGAATTAATTAGTTTTTCAACACCAAAAATAGCAACAAAAAAATTAACGAACTTCTTTTTGTTTCCACCAATATTGACAGACTTAGTTATAAATTTAGGTTGGAATTATTTTCACTCTTTTTCTTTTTATCTTAAAAAAGATAATATAATATTAACTGATCCGATTGAATTGGGAATAGATCTTGGTTTACAAAGATATATTATCAGTTTTAAAATACCAGATAAACCATGACTATTAAAAAAAAAGCAAATCTGTCAAAGGAAATTAGCGAAGAGACTCCCAACTACCGGACTCAAAGTCAAGGTGAAGGGATTGAAGAATAAAACTAAGTCGTTTAGCTTAAGCTTTGTTTGTTTCAGTTTAAATAAGTCCTCCTAAGTTGTAGGAGTCAATGCACGTTTGATTAAGAGTCTCTTTTGTTATCAAATCCGCTTGAAGAGGTCATCTAGTTGAGTCTTGTAAAAGTCTTTATAAGACTCCCTTTCTCATGAATAAATCACAGGGAACTATTCAGCTTTTCCTTGGTTCCTCTGTTTTGTTTCAACGATTAGCAAATAACAGGAACATGATATTGAAAGGACAATTCAAAGTTTCTATAATACACATGTATTAAGGTATACATTATTCACTAAAGACAAGTCTTGATAATACACATCAACCAAAACCATATCTTCTTCTTCTCCACAAAACCAAAACACATAAATCAAAACCATATCTATCTTTTCTCCACAAAATCAAAACACAAAAACCATAACACACAAATTTGATCAAAACACATAATAACCAAAATACTTAACCAAAACACACAATTTTTAAAACCAAAACACAATAATTATGAACCAAAACACTTAAAATTTTTAATAACCAAAACATTTCAAATTTTTAAGAACCAAATCACTTCAAAACATTTTTTTTAAGAACCCCAACTTAAGATACTACTATTGGACAATGACAAAAATTTCAACTCTTACCCAAACTCTTAAGTTTTAAATTTTCAAAATTAACAATTAAAATATTCTAAGAGCCAATATTAAGATACTACCAATAATGTTGCTCTAAACAACCATCCGTTATAATGAGGTATCCCTTAACAGTACGTGGTGCGAAGACGGGTAGGAAAGCCATCAATCGACAAGCAGCGCAACCCGTCTGACCAGACGGCAATTCTCGCAACAAATCTAAGCTTTGGGAATTCCGCGTCGCCTCAATCGTAAGTTCGTTTCCATCCCCTGTCTGCAGACCCCGAGCAGCCAAATCTGAAGCAAAACCACGAGTTTCAATCGTTGGGCCCCTCCAGCCCTGGATGCTGACAAAAATGTGACAACGTTGAAGGAAAACTTGTTTTTCATATAATGGACAATGGTGAATGAAATATACTAAGTCTAATAATCACAAACTACCGCAAAATTTCATCAAAATAATGCTTTTTGGGATAAACGCACCTATCTACCATCCCATTAATTTCCAAACTAAAAAATTCAAAATTGATGACTGATGAGGTGCGTTAACTGTAACTGAAAGCACTATGACAAGTTTAAATAATTAGTGCTATAGTTGAGGAGTAGATCATAACGTGGCTTCCATCGTCGCTTCATGCCATTATTTGTCTTTCTGGTCCATATATATTTTAATTAATTACAAGTATAGTAGTCAGAATCTGCACATATGATAAGTTCTTGCTTCGAAGATTTATGCATTTCGACCTGAATTGTTGATAATATATCTCAAAGTTATACTCCACATTATTTCACAAGCAATTACATATCAACAATCAAGTATATATACTAAACTTCTTTATATCAAAATTACTTGTAATGGTATTTATATCTCCGTCATAACTATAACTTTTTTTTTTTGTTAAAATCATAACTATTAACTTTAACGAAGGAAACACTGGAGGAATCAAGAAGAAAAAGATACCGACATTGATGATGCTGGAAAAATGTATTGTTGTTACTGACAAAGCCGATCTTCTTCTCTGAAAATGTCAACAAAACAGACTTGAAATATATAAACAAAAAGAGTTGAAAATAGATAGAATTTATGCATAGAGCCTCGACCAAACTCTGAAATAGTACATCAATTTGTTTGGTAAACGATAACAACAGTCATTCCGAAAATTCTCAACAAGTAATAATTGGAAGTGGAATAGATAATAAATAGGGCTTTGGTTGTTATTGAACTCGTTTGAGAAACCTGGAAACCAAAACCAATCAATCAAATCATAACTAAATGATCATAAACATGACAGCGCCTCCAAAGAAAAGTGATATTCCGATGAAAGCAAAAAATATTGGAGAGGATAACGAAAACAGCAGCTGTTAGTAATCTATATGAAAATCGTAGAGATGTGAGAAGTAAACAACGCAAAGGTTGGTGGCGAAGGGGTGGGAGAATAGAAGAAACGCAAACGTTGAGAAATAGATCATAACCGTAGGATGGATTGCGTGTATAATCTGAAACATTGAAGTTTTTTTTTCTTTTTTTTACACACTAATGACGTCAGCAGACCCAAAAAAATGGGTTTGCTATTATATATAGATTAGTTTTCCAAGATTTACAATTTTGGCTTTTTTTTAATTTCTTTCAAAATACCTTTTTCTTATGTATAATTCCGCGACTTGTTAACACACAAATAGTTGGTCTATGGTTTCTCAAATACTATAGGTTAATATTCGATTAGCAAACAAACTTTTTTTTTTTGAAAGGGAAAGTCTTTCGGCCAAAGGCACCATTATATGAAAACATATGTTAATTTAAATTTATACATAAAAGAAATAAACAAATGATAGCAGTTTCATGAAGCAAGCATGTATATTTGTGGTGCCAATAGCCAAATGTGCAATGAACATATATGCCCATCGCTTTGCATGCGCAAACTTTATCAACATGACAACATTAATATGAAATGTAACTTTTTCTTGGTAACTTAGCTTGAATGCAACATCCATTTATAGTCTATTTTTGACATCATTCTAAACATTTAATGCTACAAAATAAAATGAAGAATGAGAAGGTGGCACCCCACATACATCATATTTTACGAGAAAACTTGAACAAAAATATGATGGATGATGAATAGAAAAAGCTAGGCTACACGAACTCATTAGACAAGGAAAAAAATAAAAAAAGATAATCCACTGAAAATATTAGAGTTCTAAATTATTTGATTTTATGATTTATTTTGCAATGCAAATTTTAGAGTTAAAGAATTCTATTTTTGTAGTAGTTAATAGTCACTAGTCAGTAGTCACACTACAATATTGCAACCGTACTGGGTTTTATAAACTTCAAAAGGTTTTGGATCGAACGGAACGGATGCCGCATAAAACCCACACAAACTTATAATTTTTGTTGCAAAGAAACCATATTCAGTTTAAATTTATAAATTTTCTAAACATGTTATAGATTATCTTTTACATGCTTTCTTTATGTATCGATTTAAACTATTCTAAATACTGTAAATGGTGAAGAAAACAAGCCCATGATTCTTTGAACCATTAAATCGTGTGAATTTAAAAATACTGTATATGCACATAGAAACAAGCCCATGATAAAGTAATCATAATTTGTTTGAGGCTGAATAAAAGTTTCGTATGTTTTTTGACTGATTAGACGATTCCGAGGAAAATATGGCTTGATCGGGCAGTGAAGAAATTGATTCAATGACCGGTTAGGAAAATTGAGAGATTAAGCAAATCAATTTCCGCAACAAAGTTCTAAAGTCAACACTCCACTTGAATTCCATGGTGTAACAACTGCCACATGTTTGGAAATTCAGTTTTAATTAAAACTCTTGTGATTGTGATAGAACCGAGTTGGACCAATCCATAGTTGATTTGTAGTCAGATGATTGTGACAGTTAAGTCCAATATTGCTCCAAAATATCTAAGAGCTTGGAAGAGTACAGATCGGTTTATTGTTTATTATTCTTCTAAGCACGTACGTCAAAAGAGTAATAAGTACTTTGTGGTAGTCACGACTCATGTGCAGTGACCGAAGCATGTAATTTTCTTTGATTAAGATCTCGATTAAGTAGACTGGTTTAGAGAATCGTTCGTCACAATTATGATTTCAAATTGGTTTTAGTTGAATATTTAATTGACTTTCTAATTTACGGAATTTTTTGTGATGTTATTAAATTCAAAATAGACGTGTTTTCTGAAAGCTTTAGAACTTATATTATATTGCATTCCCTATATAAGTATTACAAAATTCACACATATACGAATATAATAAAGTGCATTACAACTTTTGGGATCTTTTTTTTTTTTTGGGCAAATACAACTTTTGGGATCTATATATAAAGGTATTGATTGTTGAACTTGGGAAGCCAACTTAGTGAACATTAATATATCCCACCAAGTTACTAAGATAAAACGAAACACTGTCAAAATGTCTCTTCCATATACGATTCTCCTTTTTTTGATATTTTCAACATCATCAACTTATTTCATCTCTTTCGCACACTCCAAAATCGCTCGACTTGGGATTTCTTCGAAAACACTAAAGAATGCATCCGATGGATCAACACAAAAAGTAGATGAATATGATCTAGAAATGTACTACTTTAATCAGACGCTCGACCACTTCACATTCACGCCGAAAAGCTACATGACTTTCCAACAAAGATACGCCATCGATTCCACGCACTGGGGTGGTGCTAAAGCCAACGCGCCAATCTTAGCATTTCTTGGAGAGGAATCGTCGTTAGACTCTGATTTGGCTGGCATCGGTTTTCTTCATGACAACGGTCCTCGCCTAAAAGCGCTCCTCGTCTACATAGAGGTGTGTGTGTTTATATATATATAATGCGCGGTTAGATTAATCTTTGTAGTAAATTTTATATAAATGTATACGTTAATGCAGCATAGGTATTATGGGAAGACAATGCCATTTGGATCAGCAGAAGAAGCATTGAAGAACGCAAGTACGTTGGGGTATCTGAACGCAGCACAAGCCCTAGCAGACTACGCCGCGATTCTCTTGCACGTTAAGGAGAAGTACTCCACCAAACATAGCCCTATCATTGTAATAGGAGGATCCTATGGTGGAAGTAAGTCCAGTATATATATGTTAAAATTATCATAACCGTAACTTATTTGGCTTGTGTGATATAGTTATTCTTGATCTCACAATGAATATCAAATAGCATTATATGATATTAAGGAATCTTAAATAAACAATTTATTTTTCATGGTACAAAGTGTTAGCGGCATGGTTCAGGCTAAAATATCCACACATAGCACTCGGAGCATTAGCATCTTCAGCTCCTCTTCTCTACTTTGAAGATACTCGTCCTAAATTTGGTTATTATTATATTGTAACCAAAGTTTTCAAGGTAATAATAATTATCCACTCATAGACCATATGTCCATATCAGCATGTAGGAGTTATTTTTTTTTATCACAATCAGTCCATTTCAACTATTTCGTTCTTCACTAGTTTTTGTTGTTACATGGTGGTCTTAACTAATTAATTAATCACATTCTTCTTCTTCTTTTTTTTTTCTAACAAATATTCCATTAGGAAACAAGTGAAAGATGTTATAACACGATCCGTAAATCTTGGAAAGAAATAGATAGAGTTGCTGCCAAACCCAATGGTCTCTCGATCCTTAGCAAAACATTCAAAACTTGCGCGTAAGAAAGTAATATCTTAATTTGTTATTTTTCAGTTAAGTTACATTTTATGCTTAATTTCTTCTTCAAAATTATTTATCAGTCCATTGAACGGAAGCTTTGATATCAAAGACTTCTTGGACACAATATATGCTGAAGCTGTTCAATACAACCGGGGTCCGAGTTATTGGGTGGCCAACGTGTGTAACGCAATCAACGCCAACACACCAAACCGTAAAAGCAATTTACTCGATCGGATTTTTGCTGGTGTTGTCGCTTTAATAGGCAATCGAACTTGCTATGATACCAATATGTTTTCGCAGCCAACAAACAGTCACATCGCATGGAGATGGCAGGTGTGTAAATTCTGCATTTAAAAACATACTAAACACGATAGAATGTCATATACATTAAAGAGGTGCATAGCACTAACCATTGTAATTAATTTGGTGGATTTAAATTTGGAGAGATTTTAGTTATGAATTCTAAAGATATACTAATGATTTATGTGGTTTCGTTTCCTAATTCGTCTGATTCATATAGAAAATAAAATTACATGAATGATCTTTATATAGAGCTGCAGCGAGATAGTGATACCCGTGGGATATGACAAACAAGATACAATGTTTCCAACGGCACCGTTTAACATGAGCAGTTACATTGATGGATGTGAGTCTTATTATGGTGTCCCTCCTAGGCCACATTGGATCACAACGTACTTCGGCATTCAGGTATATATATGACTAATCAACTAATTTTAAAATCATATTAATATTATTAATAATTAAGTCTATGACACAAGCCACTAAATTACCATCGTTTAAAAACACTTTTAAATTGAATTTTTGGAGTTCCTTGTATTTATTGTCTCTAATTTAAATCATAATTTAACTTTTGCTATTTTTACATATGTTTTGCTTACATTTTGCTTACATTTTGCTTATTATCTTTTTCGTCAATGTTTCCTTAAATTTCAAGATTTAGAACAACAGACAACATATTGATAGATTAGTATAAATATTTCATATAAATGTATTGATTTCTACAGGTAATAGTTTGATGAAAATAATTAGCTACAACATACTATATATGAATTATATATTGCAGGATGTCAAGTTAATCCTTCAAAGATTTGGGAGCAACATCATTTTTTCTAATGGATTGTCAGATCCTTACAGCGTTGGCGGGTAATAAACCTAATAACTTGATCATACATCATTGAACATGTTATTGGTGTGTCAATGTATATAAGGTTTCATGGGATTTCTTTTCATATGTTTCTAGAGTCTTGGAAGATATTTCAGATACTGTAGTCGCAATCACGACAAATGGTAATTTATTAAATTTTCAGTTTTCGTCAAACATTTTATCCAACAAATCGTTTATGAATATGATGATTAACTCTCTCAAAATTTTAATAAAAAAAATTAATATATGAGCAGGTTCACATTGTCAAGATATCAGTTTGAAAAACAAAGAAGATCCGCAGTGGCTGGTGATGCAAAGAGAGAAAGAGATTAAAGTTATTGATTCTTGGATTTCAACGTACCAAAATGATCTACGAGATCTTAACATGTCAATCTAAGTTAAGTAATGATATATATATATATATATATATATTTTTTTTTTTTGAACACAAGTAATGATATATATAAATATCAATAATTGGTGAGTGATCTTTTTTTTTTTGGTTTGTGACAACGAGTGATCTATAAAAATCGATGTAAAAGCAAGTATTTCTATGAAAAAAAAAAACAAAAGTTTGTTGGGATTGGGCTAGAGTTTTGGACCTTGGATTTGTGGCCCATTAGAGTATAGTTTACGAAACCGAACTCCAAAACCAATAATGTATGAAGTATCCTTCCTAATGGTAATTGTGAATGTCAAATGTCCTCCTTCTTAATGTTTTGCCAGTAATTTGATTGAATAAAGAGTTTTATACTTCCTGAAAACTTTACTAAGATAAAATGAAAAATTTAGTCCAATGATAAGCGACCACAAAATATGATAACATCATTAATATAAGATTATAGCTCATTTGTCTGTACTTGTTCATTGTTATTATAAGACTAAAATAAGATATTATAAATGTTTTATTGTGTTGAAACCAGTAAATTTATGATCTATTTGTACCAAGTAAGTTGATATCTAATCATGTACTAGTGTCTAATTTTTTTAAAAAAAAATTGCAAAAATAAAAACAAGACATGACAAGAGAAAACATTATTTGAAAATGGGACAAATGTTGATGACAAGCCAAAAGTAAGTAAAGACATAAATTTATATTTAGTCTTTATAAATTAACGGGCCTCGAAACAATATAAAAGACATTCCGATGGAATGTGACACCACACTTTCATAACTTAGCCTCAAAGGAAAAAAAAGGCATTGCTTTTATTTATCTCAAGAAATATGTTAAATACCCATATATTTGAATGAATTGCTATAATGAAACCGCCTCATTGATCCAAACTACATTATATAGTATGTTGATATTGTCATGAAAAAAGAAAGTTTTAAGAATATACACTAAAACAACGGATCAACGGTCAAAACTATGTATCCAACTGAAAAATATATGTTTTTGGCATATATCAAAGGAAGCCAAAACTCTATATATCCTTTGTGCAAGTTTAACGTATATATATATATATAAGCATTTTCTTTAACAATCATATGGTCCAATATCCTATGTAACACTTTACTATGAGAAATTGAGAATGTTGAAAAGATAAAAATAACAAGTTTTTCTATAATACAAACATGTTATACGCTCATCAATTAATGAAAATGTTAATTTAAATTTATATAGTAATTAAAGAGTTCCAAAACTCTACAAAATCTTACAGACACAATAAACAACGAAATGAATTCTTCAAATAAACAAGAAAGATAAGCATGAGATAAATTAGTAGCTAGTATTGCAAATTTGCAAGTAAATCTAAATATCTAATGGAGTATTACATTACATGTGAATTGATTACATTTGAATGATTCCATATAAATGAACGAATGACCTTCGTTTTTTTTTTCTTTTAAAGTACTACCATTTTATAGGCTAGCTAGATACATGACGAAAAAAAAAAAAAAAAGGCAATAGGATACATTTGACCCGTCAACCAATCGAGTCCAAGTAGCCTAATTAAATTCATCACCTTGTTGGAGATATCCAATGTTGTTGAACGCTAGCTAGATGAAAACTCAAAAGTATAACTTGCTTTTTGTTTTGCAATGGATTCTTAGTTTCAACATATACAAACACGTACGTATAAATAAATACACAATTCTGTAAAACAAATACACACACTTACTTTTTTTTATAGCAAGTATATTATAGGTGCATACAAGTAAAGCAAGAGGTGCGTCAAAAGTACGCATTATGTGGTTTAGGTAACCAGGGGAAAAAAAAAGCAAAGAAGATGATGCCAAGAAAGAACCTTCCGTTGACTGGTCTCCATTTTCCTTTTTTTAAGAACCCTAATCCTTATTCACCTACGCAATTATACCTTTTGTGTTTGATAAGTAATTACGTGTTTGTTAAGCAACTTTTACCACGCCTGTTCAAAATGTTGAAATTATTGTCTTAAATGTAGTAAAGAAAAAGTTGTTGATCATTCTACTCTGAAATGAAACAGAAATTACGACAAAAAAATGAAGCAGACATTACATATTGAAAGATAGATTGATTTCTCTTTTTTTTTTTCTGTCGACATATGGTAAATATCATCTACAAAATAATATAAAATAAAGATTGATAGATCATAGATCATTGACTTCGCAACGCTTTGACATTATATAATTTGTATTATCATCAACCAACTTGGAATTCCAATTCAATTTTCAAAACTAGTATATCCAATTTATAAATCAAAACATCAAAGATACGGTTATTTTACCCTTTTTGTTTGTCCAAATCATTTTATTTTGATGTTTAAAATAATAACAAAAAATCGATTAAAAGAAAAAAAATCGAGTAATAAAAAAGTAAGAAAATCGAATTAAAACACATGTGATATTTGGCGTAATCTACACTGGAACATTTTCTGTTTATCCGCTGTTATACTTCTCTCTCTCTCTATATCCCAAAAGACGACACAAGTACAAAACAAATCTGCAAATCTTCTTCTGTCTTCATGAATTTCAAGACTAACGATTCGTAGCCGTTACCAATTTGACGGCTCAATTGTCCATTCTTGTGCTCAGAAGAAAAAAAAAATGATCTTTTTGATTTTGACGAGATTAAGAGATCGTGTTAACACTTAAAGCAGACCCAACTCGGGAAGCTATGTCGACTATTCGTTTCGCGGCGGCGATTCTCATTTATTTTTTATTACCGGCGGCGGTTTTATCTTACGGTTTTCCGGCGGCGCTGAAACTGGAAAGAGTGATTCCGGCGAATCACGAGATGGAACTTAGTCAGCTCAAGGCTCGTGATAAAGCTAGACACGGCAGATTGTTACAGTCTTTAGGCGGAGTTATAGATTTTCCCGTCGATGGAACATTTGATCCTTTCGTTGTTGGGTAATTTAAAGTTTTCATCTTTTTTGTCTCTCTCTTTGTTATTTTTGGTGATTGATCGATTGTTGGTAATGCCTATAAGGTGTTCGATACAATATCTGAGTAAATCTCAGTCGTTGTCTGTCAAAGTTTTGTTTTTTTTTCTTAAGTCTCAATCAAAAAGTTCTTTCTTTTGTTTTGTTGTTTTCTGCTTATGTTTGGTGTTTGACTTTGAACAGATTATACTACACGAAAATACGATTAGGATCTCCTCCAAGAGATTTTTATGTACAGGTTGATACAGGAAGTGATGTTTTGTGGGTTAGTTGTGCTTCTTGTAATGGCTGTCCTCAAACCAGTGGACTCCAAGTAAAGCTTTTGAAATCTTTTTCATTATCTTGGTATAGTTTGAATTTCTGTGATTTGAGATTTTAATAATATGCTGCTTCTTTCCTTTTGCAGATTCAGTTGAATTTCTTTGATCCAGGGAGCTCTGTAACAGCAACACCGGTCTCATGTTCTGATCAAAGATGCAGTTGGGGTATTCAGTCCTCTGATTCTGGCTGTTCTGTTCAGAACAATCTTTGTGCTTACACGTTTCAGTATGGGGATGGAAGTGGCACCTCAGGGTTCTACGTCTCTGATGTCTTGCAATTTGATATGATTGTTGGAAGCTCTCTGGTCCCAAACTCAACGGCTCCGGTTGTGTTTGGGTGAGTTTATTTCAGCGAATCCTTTGTTTCATAGTCGTCAATATGGGCCATTACTCTTGACTTTGTTGGTTGCTATGTGGGATTGTTTTTCTGGAATCAGTTGCAGCACCTCGCAGACGGGAGATTTAGTGAAGTCTGATAGAGCGGTTGATGGAATCTTCGGGTTTGGGCAGCAAGGAATGTCTGTGATTTCTCAGCTTGCTTCACAGGGATTAGCTCCAAGAGTGTTCTCTCACTGCTTGAAAGGAGAGAATGGAGGCGGAGGCATACTGGTTCTTGGAGAGATTGTGGAGCCAAACATGGTCTTTACTCCTCTTGTCCCCTCGCAGTTAGTTCCATTTATCCTTTGAAACCGTTTCATTTCAAAAGAGTTGCTCATTAGAGAGTGACTGATAAACATGATCTTATGGCGTGTGAAAATTTCAGGCCTCATTACAATGTGAATCTTCTGAGCATATCAGTGAATGGCCAAGCTTTACCTATCAATCCATCGGTCTTCTCTACATCAAACGGTCAGGGAACAATCATTGACACTGGTACAACATTGGCATACCTTTCTGAAGCAGCCTATGTTCCCTTCGTTGAAGCTGTAAGTCATCAAACCTCATGTTGCTATCTCCTTTTGATATTACTGAACCATCTGGGAAATGTAGTTACTATAACTGTACTCCGCTGACTAGATACTCTGCAAATTTGGTTCAATACATTATTTTAATTGTTCTCTGTCTTATGGAATGTTTCAGATTACAAATGCTGTTTCGCAGTCTGTCAGACCCGTTGTTTCGAAAGGGAACCAATGTTACGTAATAGCCACAAGGTTTATCCTCTTACCAAATTTTCTTATCCTTAAGCATGTCTTCTTAATTGGTAAACATCTGAACTTATTTATTGTACTGTGATGATCAGTGTCGCAGACATATTTCCTCCAGTTAGCTTGAACTTTGCTGGTGGAGCATCCATGTTCTTGAATCCTCAGGATTACCTCATACAGCAGAACAATGTCGTAAGCACTTTTAACTCTGAACCTTTTTATAGGAATCTGGTTTCAGAATCTGAACCTACCTTCACCTGAAACAGTGAGGTTTTTTTCCGGTTTTTGGTATAACGTTTGCCTCTGCACTCCGCTTTCTAGGGAGGTACTGCGGTGTGGTGCATCGGTTTTCAGAGGATACAGAATCAAGGGATAACAATCCTTGGAGGTAACCCGAATCGAAAGCTTAACCCTTTGTTATTTGAAATCTACGTTTGGTAACACAAAACATCGGTTTTCTCATCTTTTTCTGCAGATTTGGTTCTTAAAGACAAGATCTTTGTCTATGATCTGGTCGGTCAGAGAATTGGATGGGCAAATTACGACTGTAAATCTCATCCCTTTTACTCAAATGACACCCAAAAGCAATGAAATCTTTCCGCACTGAAAAAACTCTCAACATTTTTCTTTTCTTTTCTTCAGGCTCAATGTCGGTAAATGTCTCAGCGACTAGCAGCAGCGGAAGAAGCGAATATGTGAATGCAGGACAGTTTAGTGAAAATTCTGCTGCACCGCAGAAGTTATCTTTGGACATTGTTGGAAACACTCTGATGTTGTTACTAATGGTAATCAACATGTTCTTATAGCACGTACAGCTTTCGCAACTTTGCCTAAAATTGTAGTTTCTTCTATACCCTTTTGATGTGGTCGTCGGCGTGTTATTTGTGGTCACCAGAGAGTAAGTTTCTCCCAACCGGCGAATCCCAGCAGAAGTAAAGTTAACTTCTTTGTTGTGTTGTTTGTATGTTTTTTTTCTTTTCTCATTTCATTGTTATAGTTTTGGATGTACATAATTCCTTCTATACATAGTGGTGTCTGTGTGTATCGTTTTTCTGATCAAGTGTTTTCTTTTCCACTATTTTTATATTAAAAGGAAATTCAGCAAAGAAAAAAACGAAATCATACTATAGCATCAAAATCTTTAACAAAAGCAAAAAGCAGAGAAAGAACGTTTTCAAATAATGGTACATATGAATATCTAAGGATCAGAGGTAGTTGCATTGATCCAAACACCTATCTCTTAGTCAAATACTGATCAAGGCCCTTCAACAATACTTTTTTGTTCTAAACTTTTTAATTTGATAATTAATTACTCATGATATTATTGTTATAGAGTTATTAAATACTCCCTCCGTTTCAGTTTAGTTGTCGTTTTATGCAGGGCCGGCTCAACTAATTTAGAGTCCCTGTACAAATCTTAAAAATTGACCCTTTCTTCATAGAAAAAAAAAATATTTGGCCTTTTTTATGTTAAAAAAATCTTTAAAATTAGTCTTTCTTATATTAAAAATATATATTTGGGCTTTTTTTCATACTAAAATTATCTTAAAATCTTAAAAATTATCATTTTTTCTTTTAAAAAAAAAAATTTGGGCCCTTAAATTTACCCAAAAAAAATTTGGCCCGGTACATTTGCTCCTCTTGCACCCCCTCAACGCCGGCCCTGGTTTTATGATGTAAATTTTGTTTCATAATAGTTGTCGGTTTAGGTTTTCAATGCAAATGTTTGGTGAAAATTCCAGTTTTATCCTCACTGTTTTAATGTTTTGGCCAATGAATTTTTTTATAAAATATATTAATAAAGGGTAAAACAGAAAATTTAATGCTTTTCTTAATTTGCGTGAAAAAACCTTAAACGACAACTAAAACGAAACGGAGGGAGTATTTCATAACAATCATTTCAAAATAGATGTTTGAAATCATTTAGAAAATGTGTCATAGGTGTAGCAAAAAAAAGAATTGATTTACACAGAAAAGAACTAATTAATAAATTTAAATTGATGTAATATTATTTAGTTGAACATAATAAGAAAAATAAATAATTTTTTAATGAAATAATTTTTTTTTTGTTGGTCAATTCTACTTCTTCGAATGTTTTAACATTTTTTTAAAAAATTATCTTCTATCAAATTAGTTAATGTCGTCTTATATTTTGCATTAAATCTCATAATTCTCTTTTGTCCATCATACTTGCGTACACTCTTTCTCAGACAGAGTCAACGAAAGCCCTAATCTTCATACCTGACTGACACAGACACTAACTATCTTTCTGTGTCATAAACTCATAATCATTAATTTCGTGTTCCAATTTCAAAGTGTTTATCTGTACTAATGTAATCCTCAAATTAGGAAATTTATCAATTAATCTCTTTTTTTATCTGGTCGTCTCCTAAATCTCCTGCTTTCTCTTCTTCCCTTGAATCTCGAATTTCTAGGGTTTTAGGGGTTTTTCTCAAATTGAATTTTCCAGATCTCATCATCTAAGTCCTTTAAGGGATTTCTGATCCGAGTCTCGTGGGGCGATGGCGGATGAGAAGAACGGTGGACGTCTGAGTGACGCTAGTGACTACTCGTCGGAGGACGAAGGAACAGAAGATTACAGAAGAGGAGGTTACCATGAGGTTCGAGTCGGTGATACTTTTAAGAATGGTTCTTATGTGATTCAAAGTAAGCTTGGTTGGGGACATTTCTCCACTGTCTGGCTATCTTGGGACACTCTAAAATCTGTAAGTCACTTCTATGCTTCGTTTCTCAGAGAATCAATTTTAGGGTTTTTAGATACTAGTGAAAAGGAATTTGATTGCTGTAGAAGAAAAATGTGATTGTGGAAGTTCTTGTAGTTAAAGATTTGAATTTTGTCATTGTTTTGTAGCGATACGTAGCTTTGAAAATCCAGAAGAGTGCTCAGCACTATACTGAGGCGGCGATGGATGAGATAAAGATATTGAAACAGATTGCGGAAGGTGACGCGGAAGATAAGAAGTGTGTTGTGAAGCTTCTTGATCATTTCAAGCACGCGGGTCCTAATGGGCAACATGTTTGTATGGTCTTTGAGTATTTGGGAGATAACCTTTTGTCGGTTATCAAGTACAGCGATTACCGAGGGGTTCCTCTTCATATGGTTAAAGAACTCTGTTTTCATATTTTGGTTGGGTTGGATTATCTTCATCGTGAGCTTTCGATTATTCATACTGATATCAAGCCGGAGAATATTCTGCTTTGTTCCACTATTGACCCTGAAGCAGATGCTCGGAAATCGGGGATTCCTCTTGTTCTTCCAACTGCTAAGGACAAGGCTGTTCCTGAGAAACCAGCTGAAAAGGAGAAACCCAAGAGTTACACGTACAGTGCGGATTTGACTAAGAATCAGAAAAAGAAGATTCGGAAGAAAGCTAAGAAAGTGGAAGGTCAAGGATGTGGTGGAGAAGAAGGCTCAGAGGATAATGAGAGAGATTCTAACTCTGAGGCAAGACAAAACGGAAATGCAACCATGGAGAGGTCGGAAGAGAGTTCTGAAAGAGTAAAAGATCCAGAGAATGTTAGTCAAAAGAGCCGGGGCAATAGGAGAGGAAGTCGATCCACGAGGCAAAAGTTACTTGCGGATGTTGATCGGAAATGCAAGTTAGTGGATTTTGGGAATGCTTGTTGGACTTATAAACAGTTTACGAGTGATATTCAAACAAGACAGTACCGGTGTCCTGAGGTTGTTCTTGGCTCAAAATACTCAACCTCGGCAGATATGTGGTCATTTGCTTGCATTTGTTTTGAGCTTGCCACCGGAGATGTTCTATTTGATCCTCACAGTGGTGAAAATTTTGAGCGGGATGAGGTATATATCTCTTACTTGCTTTCTCATGTTTTGTGAAAAGCTAAAACCATTTCATTTCGTCGGTACTCAATTGTAACACTAATGGACTTTGGTTTCAGGATCACTTGGCATTGATGATGGAGCTTCTTGGGATGATGCCACGAAAGGTAAATCTGAGAAACACAGTGTTCTCTTGTTTATCAGTATCATTTTGAGATTTTTTAACGGGATTTTTTTTTTAATGTAGATTGCATTAGGTGGACGCCATTCGCGGGATTTCTTCAACCGACAGGGTGAACTAAGGCACATCAGGCGGTTACGGTTTTGGCCACTTAGCAAGGTCTTAACAGATAAATATGACTTCAGTGAGGAAGACGCAATTGCTATGCAAGATTTCATCATTCCCATTCTTGAATTTGTACCTGAGAAGAGACCAACGGCTGCTCAGTGCCTAACACACCCATGGATGAATCCGGTCCCTAAATCACTGAAACCGTCACCGAGTCCACAAAAACCCAAAGATGAAGAAGTATCACATGAGAATAAAACGAAGGAAAATGATGAGAGGGAAGCCATGGAGGTTGGTGTTGGGAATATCACCATTGATGGCTCAGAACCAAAGACCTCAGCAAGAGAAGGTCGTCAATCTGCTCGTGATCTTCGCACTTAAGAAACAAAAAAAATTCCTGGAAAAAAGTTTTGTATTTTTCTCTGAATCTCAAAGATTTAGATACTGTATTGTTTTATTCTCCCTTCACTCTTGCACACTAAAAGATTTGAAATTTCATTTGCTTTCGAACCAGCTTTTAGATGACACATTGGATTAACATTAATAATATAGAGTACAGCATAAGCAATGCGGACATAGCACACAAGTCACGGGGTTCAAATGGAGACCACACAATAAATTTATATCAGACATTTTATGAACACACCTCGCTCTAACTACTTGTAGGGGCCTAATGCCACAATGTAACTGTGTGATGAATTTCTCTTTCTTCACGGATTTTCACCTGTAATATATACATTTATTTTGAGCTCTCTTTATCATATGCAAAGGAAAACGGAAATGCGAAGAAGAAAAGACGGGTTTACCTCTTGTTCCGTCTTTTAGGATTGAAGGTTCAAAAGATTTTTCGTCTACTGAGATAGGAATACATGAGGAAGAAGCCGACTGCAGCGCCTATGATGATTCCACCTGTTGTTAGCCAGAATGCAGACTGCAAAAAAATCGAGATGTTAATGGTAAACTGATGGCACAATAGTTGTATATATGTGGTGAGGGCTTACAGCTTGTTCTTCAAGATAGGACCTCAAGTTCATGCCGAATATACCTGCACGCTCCCAAAACAAAAGGTATAAGCCCTTTACGTGAACACGGAAAACAGGAGTTGGCTTTGAGATCATGTTCGTCGGGCAATGCTTCTTTGTAGTTAAAATCAAATAGCTCACAAGGAATGTTGAATGCAGAGACTCAGTATCTTGGTAGTTGGTAGTTTAAATGCAGAAATAGAAGCAGGCCTCTACCACAGTTCAACAGTTTGAGAGAAAAAGGATGCAAACCATAAACAGTTTGCAAATTTACCTGCGATGAGAGCACCAACTGCAACACAGAATGTACCGACCTGAAGAAGCAGCTCGAATCTGCTGACCTCAAGCCTCCGAGAACTGGAAAAAAAAACAAATAGATCATGGTAAGAGTGCCTAATCATTTAAAGAGAAAGGAGGGTTGTGTTATCTTCAGAACCTTAGATTGACAGCAATTGAGTCTTCCATTTCTTTTGCAGAATCCAGAAGTCTTTCTGCTTGTCCATGGCATGACTCACATCTGCACATACGAAGCCATAGAGTTTCACTACATAACAATGTAATATCAGAGTGCTTCAAGAGTAAAATTCAAGACCTTTGCAGATAGTTCTCCAAGAGCATTTCAATTTCCTCCTCTTCTTCTGCATGGAACCAGAAAAAGAAAATGAATCTCATTAAATTCATCTGTTTGTGGTGATTATCATGGAGGAAATGTTTGCATTCTTACCCTCGGCAATCAGCTTGTCTGAGGGTAACGTACACTCCAAATCATCGTCTCCTCTTCTAAGAGTGCAATTTCTTCCCATGATGCATATGCGGCGTATTTCATGGGGATCCTCTAAAAGATCCAGGAGCATTTGTCTAAGAGCTCCAGCTCTGGAGCCCAATTCAACCTTTAAAAAGTGTAAAGAAAATACAATAGAAAGGAACGAATATTGAGTTCTCTGAAGCGAACAAATAACAAGAATATACATACATGCACAACTAAAATGAAGTTTACCAGTCTTTGTTTGCTAATACGAAGTTCCTCCAATATATCAGCAGTTAAGCGATTGGGCAAAACTTCAAGAAGAGCTTGGACCTGAACCAAATGGCATAAATATAAAAATTAAGAACAAAAGGAATGATCTTTAAAAGCCATAAGCCAATGTTTGAAAAAACTACAGGGTTTCATGTCAGAACATATAACGGATTTCATGCCTCAGGTCTTTCATTCCATGCACAGTTCAAACTTAAACTTATCTCAAAAGGAAAATGCATTGTGCGTGTCGAAAATGGCAGTTTCATCCTCTACATCCTCTACAACTGAGTCATGGAGAAGTCCTAGTCTAGCAGTCAAAGTGAAGAAGATCTAACTGAAATATACTCACTAGCTTTCATACTCACACGGGGTTCAATGTCCATAAGCCTTTGCTCTAATCGTTGTATCCTTGATATAAGCGCTGATTCAACAACCTTCAATAAAGCCAGAGTAATGAAAAGTTAACACCAAAATGATCGAAATTATTACAAACTCAAGTCATGTAGGGCTGAAGAGATAATTTTCATAATCTTTGATCTGTGTACAAAACATATATATCTTCCTTTTCCGCAAAAATAAGTATCATAAATAAACTATCAACCCATCAAGTTATTTTGTGAGCCAAACCAACCTCGAGTTCAAATGGCATAGACGGTCCTCCATTCATACTTCTTGGGTTAAGCCGAGGCATCAATGTATCTACAAAAGCCCTTCCTCCCCTCCTAAAAATATTTCGGACTTACATCAGAAATACTTACAAATAGAGCAAATGATATGAAGAAAAAGAGACATACTGCGACCAAAATTACCGGTTATAATCAAATATAAGGACACGGTCTCGCATGGCTATTGCTCGCAGGGAACCCAAATTTAGCAGAATCGCATGTTCACGGACCTAAACAACATGTAAGAAAAGGTATCATCATTGTCATATAGAAATAAAATACAGGATAATGAGGCAGATCAGATGGTTCATCATTGTCATATTCAAATGACTAAAGAGAAATGATAGTTTTAGCTTATACCAATAGAGCTGGCACTGAGTTTGTCATAAACAATGAAGGATCAACACTTCGGATATCTCTCGGACGAAGACCTGGTAAAGGAATAGACATATCATAGAGAATCACTAACATCAAGATCAAATGAATAATTAAACTTTGCTCACTCACCACTGGATTTGAGCAGCTGTCGTCTGTTAATCTTCCTTGTAGAAATTGCTCCAGTCGCCTTCACTTCCACAACCTTCATAAAGTTTGAAACTTTGATGAGATACAAACTTTGATGAGATACAACAAGTGACAGTTTCAACCAAAGCTATTCACAGTTACACAAATTCACCCACAAAAGTGAGCAATGATGCATATAAATGATCAAGATTTTTCAATAGTTGGTGATAACAATTCATTATATCCAGAAGAAACATGAAACCTCATAAACCGGCTCACGAATTCCTAGCGCTGAAGAATCACTTGAAGAAGAAGAAGAAGAATCGATCTTCTTTATATCCTCTCTTCCTCCGTTATCTCCATCACTACTATTACTGTCACTGCCATCATCATCGCTAACGTTTAGGGTTTCGTAATCGCCAACGAAATCCTCGGCGGTTGCGGGAGACTTGGCGAAACATTTCGATCTCGATAAAACCTTAAGTGCCTCGAAGTAGATCGGAGTTCTACTCAACGCCGATAACTGGAGAGAAAAGGAAGGAGAAGATCCAGGAAGAAGATAATGGAGAGATGGAGAGGGATGAGAAGAATGATCGGAGAAATTGAAGAGGGAAGTGAATGTAGAGGGAGTTGGAGTTAACGCCATTGTTGGTTTGGTGCTGGTGGAAGGAAGCTTTGGTTATGGAGATTTTAGCTCAAGGATAATTTTACAAAAAGAAGTTAAAACAATATCCAATTTGTATGTATATATGTAGAGATTTTAGATAAGAAATAATATCAAATATGCCTTGTCCCTCTCAAATATTTTTCGCATATTTACAAATTAGTGTGTTAAATAATGAATTTGTTGGACCGAAAAAAATAAAATGGACCCTAAAATAAACATCACAATCAAATAATTTGAATAAATCGCATTTTAAAATTTAAATCTCAAATAATCAAATATTACTTACTTACGAACATACTATAAAACAAATCTCTATCTAAATAAATTTTCTTTGATACAGAAATAAAGTCTTCAACCAGCATATATATCCATGTTTCGGTTAAATCATATTAAATCACATATTTATTATATTATTGAAAACTTTAATTTATTTTTTATTTTTTAAACATCTATTGAAGACTTTATTTCTGTATCAAAGAAAATTTTATTTCTTACAAATATTTCTTCTATTTCCTAAATTTTATAATTTTTATTCCAGAGAAACATTTTTTACTAGTAGTATTTCTTAAGAAACTTATTTTTAGGATTAATTGAATAAACAATTTATGGTAGTTGACCGTTAATTTTTGTGGCGGAGGATTCTTACGAGAAAAACACACGATATTTTCACCTGCGAATAATCTTTTTGTTGCCACCTGTCCCCGAGACTCATTTAACAGTTGGCAGAGTTTGTGTGGTTCATCCAAAGTGGGTGTAATTGTTATATTGAAAAGGTTTAGATACTTTAAAAGATAACTATGTAGGTCACAAAACAAGACATGGTTTAGTACAAGGACTATTTTGTAAAACAAGTAAAGAGGTGTTTCGAATTTTCTGGCGATAGAGAAGAGAGAAATAAGGGCAAAGGAGAAAAAAAACCAGAGAGGTTCTTCAATGGAGGACGATGAAGCGAAGCAGCGAAGAAAACTTGAAGAAGAAGAAGCTTTTAATGAACGAAGAGAAGAAAGAGAAAACGAGTTTCCTTCGCATCATCCTCCTCCTCCGCCTGATGAGGTAAGAGAGTTTCATTACTCTTAATTTGCTCACTATTCATTGTTTAAGGTTTAATTGTAGAAATTGAGCTTTAAGGTAGTTTCAATGGTACTTTGTGTAATTTGGGTTTTTCAGATGGCAATTAAAGAGTAGATTTTGGATTAAAAGTTCTGATATTTATTTGTATTGACAGTGATTTCTATGTTCTGCAGTTATTTGACGTTTCGACTACTGTTGATCCTAGCTATGTTATTTCACTGATAAGGAAGCTCCTTCCTGTTGATTCGGGTAGTGACGAACGACATAACCATCATATGAATGCGGATAATGTGGTTCAAGGTGTAGTAGCTGTATCTAGAAATGGGGTTGTTGACACTTCCAATGGTGATCCAGAGAGCATGGACATTGAAGATAATCATAATGAATCCACTTCTGAGGTGAGGGACACGGTCAGTTCATGTCGGGAGCCGGGAATGCTAGGGGGGTCATCAGTGGAAGAAGCATGGGAAGATCATGGTTGTGTTTTGTGGGATCTTGCCGCTAGTAGAACTCATGCTGAGCTAATGGTAATGGATTTATACTTTGAAGTAATGCCTTTTAATGTTCTTCTTATTCTTTTCTTTGGATATTGAAATGCCAAGTACTTAAGTTGTTTTAAAGTTGAGTTTAGACCAATAGGAAATTTGGGGCAGAGTTTTTGAAAGACATAATTGGTTTCCATGTAGACAAAAGAGCAGCTTGGTTCCGTGTAGTGGTTCTGTAAATATATTACAATGCTCTATCTGTTGACTACATGTACTGGAATTGAGACTTGAAGTTGTGATGCTTTGGCATTGCAGGTACAGAACCTAATTTTAGAAGTCCTTCACGCAAACCTTATGGTTTCAACATCTGCCCGCATTCGAGTAAGAGGCTCAGTATATTTGTTGCTAAGTCTAATCATTTTCCAGTTATTTTCATCTTCCTGTTGATTTTGATGATTACATTTCTTTTTTCACTTTGGGGCTTGCAAGGAAATTTGTCTTGGGATTATTGGGAACCTTGCTTGCCATGAAGGTCTGTTGAAACATATAGAGTCTACAGCTGGACTCGTAAATATACTCGTTGGACAGTTGTTTCTTGATGATCCCCAATGCCTAAGTGAAGTTTGCAGGTAAAAAAATCAATTTGTGCCATCAATTATGGATTCATGCTTGATCAGCTGGTTGGGTTATCTAACTAACTGACATGTATTTCCAATAGGATACTCACCACAGGTATCTCGGGGTCTGGGGGTACTTTTTGGGCCGAGTATTTGCAGCCCGATGATATACTTCGCCGTATTTTGTGGATTGCCGAAAATACCTTGAATCCTCACCTTATTGAAAAGGTACCTTCTGATATTTGTGCTTGTAACTCAGTCATTCTTTCACCGTAACGAATTGATGGTTGAAACTTGAAAGGTTGATCTAACTGTTGAATTTTATAGGACTCAGTTTCAGATGGAAATTTTTCCATAACTCTCTACTATATGCCTATTGATGTCCCTCGACCATAATCTTTGCATTTAGGTTTATCATGGCATTTTTTTCAGTTTACTAAATAATTTCTATTTTTCCATAGAGTGTAGGGATATTGTTAGGTATCATCGAAGGTCAACCAGAGGTTGAGCAGCTATTGATCCCTCCACTAATGACTCTGGGCTTGACGAGTCTCTTGATCAATCTTCTCTCCTTTGAAATGAGCAAATTGACTAAAGAAAGAATTCCAGAAAGGTATGTAAGAATAGAAACTCATCTTAAGGATCATCAAGTGTTAGTGAATGGCATTCCTGTTCTTTCAAAAACAAAATTTTTTTATGCTTTACTATGTATTATGTACCCTTTTGTGTGTTTTCAGGTACCCCGTCCTTGAAATTATTCTCCGAGCTATTGAAGCCCTTTCTGCTTCAGATAGCCATTCTAAAGAGATTTGCTCTAGCAAAGAACTTTTTCAACTAGTCTGTGATCTTATGAAACTTCAGGACAAAGCTGAGGTAGTTGTAGGTTTATAATTTTATATGAAGCTTTCCATTGAGTAGATCTCAAGTTATACTTTAATAAACTTAACTTCACTGTAGGTCGCAACATCTTGTGTTACTGCTGGAGTTTTACTCGCAAATATGCTGTCTGAAAGAGTCGATTTTATTCCGGAAGTATCGCAAGGTAAACTAATTACTTTAATTTCATGACATGTCTGGTCATAGTTTTCCATTTTGGATTTGCAGAGTGTGGCATGACTCTACTTTACACAGTTCTAAATTCTGGAATTGTGGTGTTACGGGAAAGTTATAATCAAGTTTGTTTAACAAGTATGAGATTTTTAGATTGATCAAAGCATTCAGTAGTCTTTTTTTGTAATACATAGTGAGGGTTCGTACTTGACAAATTAGGATGAACAGGGGAAATATTTGCGTAGTGTTCTTGGTTGTTGCTTCATGTCTTTATCTGACACTAAGAATCTGCAAATGCAGATTTTTCTTTCTTGGAAGGTTTATTCAGTACTTTACCATTTGCTTCAGATGACATAGAAGCAAGAAGAGCTCTTTGGAATGTTATTGCGAGATTACTTGCCAGAGTTAATGAATCCCAGATAAACACATTCTGTCTGAGTCAGTACATATTGGTTTTTTTAAGCAAAGCAGATATTATAGAAGATGATCTTCTTGATACCCAACTAGAAGATTCAAACGAGGAGTCCCAAAACTCATTCCCTTCCCAGATAAAGTCAAGTGCGCGAACAATTGCTGTATCCACTTTTATATTCATCTATTTTAGTTGCTTCTTTCTAGATTCCACAAAGTTGGCCTGTACAGATCTTTTGTTGACCTTTAGCAACAACAGATACAGAAGATTGAATCGATATTGAACAACTGGAATGTTCGCAAGGACAATTTACAGGAGGAAACAGTGAACGGGAATTGCTCTATAAACCTAGCTGATGTTAAAAGGCTATCCGATTGCTGTCACAGATATATCAAGTAAGCTATTTTTACCATCTCTAGTATAAAAATTGTTAGATTTGTTTGCATTCAACTACTTTTTCAAGTGATCCAGAGAGCCTGAAACTCAAAACAACCTTTCATATTACAATTGGTCTTACAGTTTCATAGAATCTGATCTTGTTTCCATCTTCTTTCAACTGTCATATATTTCTGCTGCATCCACTTCAATTGTTATCCCATTTAGAAACTTGACTCATAATTTTATTCTTTCTCAATTGTAGATCGATTGAAGGATCTTAATTCATGGGGAATCAATCTCTTGAAAGTATACAATCTTTCAACTGTCACATGAAGTCACAAGCTTCAAGAATTCGTGGACCCAGTAGACTTTTGAAAAGACAATGTTCAGGTTAGAACTTTGCTTGTCTCTCTCTCTTAGGGCACAATCTGGTAAATTGTACACAAGAAGAATAGATGTGCAACAGAAAAAATAACTCCTCAAATATTCAGAAATAGAAGTTTTACCGAGTATCTTTCGACATAAATCTCGATTCAAATGGGCATAACAATAAAACATACTGAAACTTTGAGACTAAAGTAGAGAGAGCGAGATGGATGATCAGGAGATAAGAGAGATGCCAGAGAGCAAGAGATTGTCAGCAAGAATCTTGTTAGCAGCTTCTGTTGGATGAAATCCATCCCAAAAGACATACTCCGTTGCATTATTACATGTTCCTACTGATTTTGGGTTACACAGTATTGATGTCTCTAGTAATCCTGTTCCACAACAAGCTCTTCTTGCCTCTGCAAATCCTGAAAATTACATAAAACACACACGACTATTAGTAGCATGTTAGAAAGAATTGTTTTTATGCTTTGACATGTATAAATACCAAATTCTGATGGCCTGGTGGCAAGATCATAGAGAGGCTGATAGATATCAAAGACGACCAAATTGAGTCCAATGAGGTTTCTCTTGAGATCCTGCGACGTCGTATTGAGTTTGTTGTTGAAGGAAATTGCGTCGTTGTTAAGCTTCTCCGAGCATCCACCCTCGTGTGGACCCGCCACAGTTATGGCTGCCGGTAAACATCCCAGCGGCGGAAGCGTAGTCACTCCTATCCTTCTTGCTCCTAACGAATATAAATTCTACGGATACCTCAAAACAAAAACAGAACAAATTTACATTTTAACTACCTTAACAATATTACCATTCGCCACCAGAATTTGATCAATCTATCGGATTTCCCATTTAAGCATGATTTAAACTAACAAATGAAAGGAGAAAAATGAACCTGAATAAAACTGGAGTAGGAGAGGATAAGGAGATCAGAGAAGTCATCAGGTGATTGGACTTTGTAGAGGAGAGGGTTGATATAGTAGTTTTGTATGAAGTCACTGCTCCCTGCGCTTACGATATATATGCCATTGGAGATTATGGAACTCGCGTTTGCGTTGTTGTTTGAGGTTGCGATTTCTTGGATTCGATTAATGTAGTCTTTGTAATGTTCCAGCTGTTGCGGCAACGATATTGCACTCTAATTCATCATCAACAATGAAAATTTATACGACGTTTAGTTATTAAAATTTAATCTGTTGTTTAGAGGACAAAATAAGAGAAGTGGGACTAACGTAGAGCTTGGCTGTGCCATCGTAATAACCAGAGGCTGCAGAGGCAAAGTTAGCTCCAATCAAAAGGTTTTTCCCTCTCGCCTTTTTGCTTAGATAAGCTTGTGGGTATGATGTGAACCCAAGATTCTCAGCTACACAAACACACAAAAACTAATTCATTATTTTCTTCATTTCAAAAACAATTTGCACCCCATGCATGCAAATACAACCAAACAATTTCTACTCTAAGTTGAAGAAATCATCATCAAGCCATGGCTCTTATTGTTTTACTCTTACTTAATTAAGCCTTGCTAGAAATCTGAAATTCACAACAATATAGGTGCATGTGGAACAATTACTCTGAGGAATATTTCAACTAAATACTGCATGCATCATTTCACAAAAAATGCCTCCTAGATCATCATCTTTGAGTACACATGCAGAGTGGGTATAAGTATATACATATATATACTGTTCAAAAGGTTGTTTAGTTTAAATATTTGGATGTGTGGTGTATATGTATATAATCATGCATGCATGTATATCTTCATGTTGTGTGACCACTATATATATCCTTGAAATAAATAACGAAGAAAAGAGAAATGTACCGGTGAAGTCAGTAGCTAACTTTCCATTGCAGAAGCGTCCGGTGGGATTATGGGTTGTGAAGTCTCTTCCATAAGGAGGGAAATTAGCTTTAACGATTGTGTAGATATCATTGTTGTTTCCCACGTCAACCACTGAATCACCAAATATGAACATCGATGGAACCAGTGGCTGTGCCTCCATCACCACCATTACCTCAAGAACCATCAAAGATCCAACCACCACATAAAGATTTAACCAAATTCCCGAGAAACCCATCATCTTTTCTATTAAAAAAATGATGATGGTTATGGTGATGTATATTTGTTTCTGCTTTTGATGCTTATGTGAGTAGCATGAGTTTGTATGTAGTTTTTGCATGCAAGGGTGTTTATATAGAATAGACAAACATCTTGGGGATTGTATTAAATGTGATAAAATTAGGTGGACTCAAATGCTTTTATATTAGTAATATTGTAACGTTTATATGTATGTTTATGTCTCTCTGATATACGCACAATGATGTGTCTCTGTTGGCCTGGAAAAGGTAAAAACACTTAGGCGCAGAGAGAGACATTGAAAGAAAGTAGTTGCGAGACTCGGGCATTGATTTGTCTTTCTCATTTATAGTTCACAGTTACGTTATGTGTGCCTTTGGACACTTGTCTTTCCAACGCTCGTACGTTTATACGATTTATGCACAGGTAAATATTTATACAGTCGAATATTTTTTCTTAAAAAAGATGGGCCACAAGGATCCACTCGGCCCGTCAGAGTATGCAGACCAAACCCACATTATGCAACTTAGGCGGCTTATTATCGGTTTGGGTTTTAAGAGTTTTAGTAGGATAATATCAAATATGTGAGAGGATAGATTCAAATATTCTCTGGTGTTTTCTTATTTAAAGCGACAAATTAATCAAAGTTAAGGTAGATTTTGAACTACCATTGAAAACCTTGTGTCGTGTTCTTAAGGCTTCTGACTGGGACATATCAAAGAAGGGTCTATCGAGTCTCCAAGAATGGGACAAGCAATCTCTACCACTAATGAAGGTATTTTTACGGGATTCATAAACTTATTTAACGTGTTAATAGGCAATTAAGAAAAAATTGATTAAAAATCGTTTAAACCAAAAGAAGTGGATAAAAAAAAGCTTGAAGGCCATGAGTGTGTGTGTCTTCTTCTTCTCCCTGAAACTCTCCCTCCTCATACTCTGTGATGAATTTCTCCAGAGTAAACCTCTTCGATTTTCCTCTTAGACCAATTTTACTTTCGTATCCCTCTTCTATTTTCGTTTCTAAACGTAAGTTTTCCCCCTTTTCGTGGTCAATCTCAACGTTTTATCGGCACTAAAGTAAAGAAATTGATAAACGTAGTTTACTGTTTGTAATGCACGGCTAGTAGAAACTTAACCTAAGACTAGTGGGCATATAATCTTGAAGGTTTTGTTGCGTAGTAACCATAAATTTGGTCTAGAGTTCGTCTAATTGATGAAATTAAATTCTGGGTTTTGTCTTCCGTCGCAGCAGAGACCTTTCCTAATTGTTTTTTTTTTTTTTTTTCATTACAGAGCTCGTGCCCATGAAATTGTCATTATCTTGGTCTGTTAAAGTATAATTCTTTATAATTTTGTTTTATGATTGCTTTTATAGAATCTTGTTTTCAGTATCCTCTATGATTCAGAACTTTTTGGCATTACCTTTGCTTTTATAAGTTTTAGTTAAAACTTGTTTGATGGATAAGAGCTTTGTTTATTATTCTCTTCGTGTTGCTTTGATTTCAGTATTCTATGGGAGTTTCTTGGTATTTTATCTCATGTTGGTGTTAATTATTTGATAATGGGATTTGCAGGTTTTGTTACCAGAACCTCTGCGGGTGTTTCTCCTTCTATCTTGCTTCCCAGATCAACTCAATCAGCTCAGATTGTTGCCAAGAGCTCATCAGGTTTCTGTTTTTAGGATTATGCATTTTGGTATGTCGTGACATTCTTTATCAGCATTGAATATTGGGGGACTGAAATTATCTTTACTATGTGGATTTCAGTATCAGTACAGCCGGTGTCTGAGGATGCTAAGGAGGATTATCAGTCCAAGGATGTTAGTGGAGATTCAATACGGCGGCGTTTTCTTGAATTCTTTGCCACTCGTGGCCATAAGGTGCTTCCAAGTGCGTCTCTTGTGCCAGAAGATCCTACTGTCCTGCTAACAATTGCAGGAATGCTTCAGTTTAAGCCTATTTTCCTTGGAAAGGTATAAATATTATCCAAGCCAAACATTACTGTTTTCGTAGCATCTATAGACTTGAAGATTATGTAATGTACATTGGTGGGACTTTTTAATATGTTGTAGGTACCTAGACAGGTTCCTTGTGCAACCACTGCACAAAGGTGCATACGTACGAATGATTTGGAGAATGTTGGAAAAACGGCCAGGCACCATACCTTCTTTGAGATGCTTGGGAACTTTAGCTTTGGTGATTACTTCAAAAAGGAAGCCATAAGATGGGCATGGGAGCTTTCAACTAAAGAGTTTGGGTTACCTGCTAATAGGGTTTGGGTTAGCATTTACGAAGACGATGATGAAGCTTTTGAAATCTGGAAAACTGAAGTTGGTGTGCCTGTTGAGCGGATAAAGAGAATGGGTGAAGCTGACAACTTTTGGACTAGTGGACCAACTGGTCCTTGTGGTCCATGCTCAGAGTTATACTATGATTTCTATCCTGAGAGAGGTTCTGATGATGATGTGGATCTTGGAGATGATACCAGATTTATTGAGTTCTATAATTTGGTTTTCATGCAGTATAACAAGACGGAAGATGGATTGCTTGAGCCCTTGAAACAGAAGAATATAGACACTGGTCTTGGTTTGGAACGTATAGCTCAAATCCTTCAGAAGGTTCCAAACAACTACGAGACAGATTTGATATATCCAATCATTGCGAAGATCTCAGAGTTGGCGAATATCTCATACGACTCTGCAAATGAAAAGGCAAAGACAAGTTTAAAAGTAATTGCAGATCACATGCGGGCAGTTGTCTATCTCATATCAGACGGTGTTTCGCCTTCAAATATTGGCAGAGGTTATGTAGTAAGGAGGCTAATAAGAAGGGCAGTTCGGAAGGGGAAGTCTCTCGGAATAAATGAGGATAGAAATGGTAATCTAAAGGGAGCGTTTTTGCCAGCAGTTGCTGAAAAGGTGATAGAGTTGAGCACCTATATTGATTCAGATGTTAAACTAAAGGCCCCACGCATCATTGAGGAGATTAGGCAAGAGGAACTTCACTTTAAGAAAACTCTGGAAAGAGGAGAAAAGTTACTTGACCAAAAGCTTAACGATGCCCTGTCAATTGCTGATAAAACTAAGAATACGCCTTATCTGGATGGAAAAGATGCGTTTCTTCTGTATGACACATACGGCTTCCCTGTGGAGATAACCGCAGAAGTTGCTGAAGAACGTGGAGTCAGTATAGATATGAAAGGTTTTGAAGTGGAAATGGAGAATCAAAGACGTCAATCTCAAGCTGCTCACAATGTTGTAAAACTGACAGTTGAGGACGATGCTGACATCACGAAAAATATTGCAGACACTGAGTTCCTTGGATATGACAGTCTCTCTGCTCGTGCTGTTGTTAAAAGTCTTTTGGTGGATGGGAAGCCTGTGATAAAGGTGTCTGAAGGCAGTGAAGTAGAGATTCTGCTTGACAGAACTCCGTTCTATGCTGAATCAGGAGGTCAAATTGCAGATCATGGTTTTCTTTATCTTAACAGTGATGGGAACCAAGAGAATGCTGTTGTTGAGGTAAGTGATGTGCAGAAGTCTCTTAAAATTTTTGTTCACAAGGGCACTATAAAAAGTGGAGCTCTAGAAGTTGGCAAAGAGGTGGAAGCAGCAGTAGATGCAGACAAGAGGCAAAAAGCGAAGGTACGTTTGAATGTCATTTTGCATCCCAATATCCCAACTGCCAACTGCCTCTTTCCTTTTCAAATTCTTGATCCTTTTTGTCAACTTTCCAGGTTCACCATACAGCCACCCATTTGCTGCAATCGGCACTTAAGAAAGTAGTAGGACAAGAAACATCTCAGGCTGGTTCATTAGTAGCTTTTGACCGCCTGAGATTCGATTTCAATTTTAATCGGTCCCTGCATGATAACGAGCTCAAGGATATCGAATGCCTGATCAATAGATGGATTGGGGATGCTACACGTCTTGAAACAAAAGTCCTTCCTCTTGCTGATGCAAAACGAGCTGGAGCCATCGCAATGTTTGGGGAAAAATATGATGAAAACGAGGTAAGAGAGATGTCACTATTAATAATTTAAAGATTGTATAAAGCGCTACAGTTTGGTTATAAGTTGATTTTGGTTTGACTAAAAGGACCCTTACATTAATCGCAGGTTCGTGTAGTAGAAGTTCCTGGTGTCTCCATGGAACTTTGTGGTGGCACTCATGTTGGCAATACTGCAGAAATACGAGCCTTCAAAATTATCTCAGAACAGGGCATTGCATCTGGAATCAGGCGTATTGAAGCGGTTGCGGGTGAAGCATTCATTGAATACATAAACTCACGGGATTCTCAAATGACAAAGAGAGTGGAGAATCTTCTAAAGGAACTGCGTGCAGCTAGAAAAGAAGCCTCCGACTTGCGTTCAAAAGTAGCGGTCTATAAAGCATCTGTCATATCGAAGAATGCATTTACTGTAGGAACTTCACAGACGATAAGGTAATCTATTGTTTCCTGCATAAAATGGTTGATATGGCAATGATGTTCAGAAGAATTGACACATAATATAACATTATAATTTCAACTAAGTGTCTTCCTGTGAATGTTTAATTCCTTCAGAGTGCTCGTCGACTCTATGGATGACACCGATGCTGACTCATTAAAGAGTGCAGCTGAGCATTTGATAAGCACGTTGGAAGATCCAGTGGCTGTGGTACTAGGATCATCTCCAGAGAAAGACAAGGTTAGTTTAGTTGCTGCATTTAGTCCAGGAGTAGTCTCTCTAGGAGTTCAAGCAGGGAAATTCATTGGCCCCATAGCTAAGCTGTGTGGTGGAGGAGGTGGTGGAAAACCCAATTTTGCTCAGGCAGGAGGCAGAAAGCCTGAAAATCTCCCAAGTGCCTTAGAGAAAGCTCGGGAAGATCTCGTGGCAACTCTATCCGAAAAGGTAGGGTGAAGCACAACTTCAAAAGTGAACTGCATGTACAGAGAGAAGGAAGAGCACATTGCTTGATTCTAGAAAAGTGAATTGCATGTATAGATGGATATTAAAGATATTTGATATCTGATGGATATTAAAGTTAATTGGTTTGTGAACATTTCTTTCAATTGCTTCGATTTACTTAATGAACGTCGTCTCTATGGTTTTTGATGTATTACAAAATGTGAATTTGTGGTGTTGTGTATATTTTTAACAAGCATTATAGCAAGTTATGAAGTGAATGTCATACTTTCTATGCGCGTAAAGATTTTGATGAGGGTGTGAGGTTGTTGGCAATTGATTGGCTGTGTTGGATTGTGTCACCAGAGTTTCGGTTCTTCTTTTTTTTTTAATTCAGGGTCTGGTGCAATTTCAGATTGCATAAAACTCAGTTTAATATTATTCTTTTTGGTACAAATCGGATTAAAAAGGGCAAAAACTTAAAAAAATATAATACTTTTAACAATGTACTTTTGTTTACAAATTAATATTGAAAAATAATTTGTAGGTCCTTTTCAATCATGTTAGAGGATTATCGAGATCGAGAAAAGTTTGTTAGAGAGTAAAAGCAACAAACTCATTCTCATTAATTATTAAACCAAAATGTTTACAATATCCTCTCTTATAAAGTATGAGAGTAAACCAGACATTAAACCAATACACGGTTGACATAAACCGATTTTAATTGATTCTTTACTCTAATAAATCACTTGTGAATACAAAATCTGACTATCGTTTCGTCATAAAAATATGTGTATGTAAGCAAACAGTGAAATAAGACACAAAGTTAAGCAATGAAAGACACAAAGAAGGAAGAAGTAAACAAGTTAAGCAAAACCATTACAGAAGCAAGGAAACAAGTTAAGCATGTATGCAAACAGTGAAATAAAAAAAGAATCAAAGAAGCAAAGAAGCACGCAAGTTAAGAAATGAATGAAGCAATTGAGTAAGCAAAGATCAAATAAACAAGCAACCAAGTTAAGCAATGAAATAAGCAAAATAAAAAAAGAAGAGAACCAGTAAAACAAGTTAACGATGTAAATAAATAAGCAAGCAATGAACTAAGAAGCAAAATATACATGAATGTATGTATGTATGTATGTATGTATGTATGTATGTATGTATGTATGTATGTATGTATGTATGTATGCATGCATGTATGTATGTATAAATGTATGCATATGTATGCAAACATGAATATATGCATGTGTACATGAATGGATGCATACATGCAATGTGTTGGGATATCAAGCTGTCAAAGGAAAGACAACATTGTTAAAGTAATTGGTCTATACCTGTTTTACTCACCACATAACTTCTTTTGGTTCACAAAGTTCGTTGGCTATGAAATCTGCTACAGAATAAAATAAAAGAGACGATAAATTCAAGTGATAAGAGAAGAAACAAAATACTACTCAGCTAAAACAGATTAAAGACATACATGGGATAATGATTGAACTTAAGAAGCTAGAAGGTAAGGTAGAGATCAAAACCAAGGCCTCCAAGAACATCAATACTCTAGCACTCAGAAACTTCTATTTTCTTATGAATGTCGTGATTTATATGTCAGAGCCAGCTGCATATTTTGTCTCCGTAAGTTTTGATCTAAGATGAACCAAGAGAAGATAAGATGTAAGGCATAACACAGATACTGAAATCTAGACAAATTTGAACATTATAGGCAAACCTTTTGTGTTTTTCAGGAGTTTCAAATGTTCCTTAGGCTTCCCGGACTTGACAGCCTTCTTAAGCCAATATCTCAACCCTGAACAACTGAAACCAACAAGTAAAATATTTAGATAAAAACTAGAATACCTTGTATAACTCTTGGAATGATCATAGATTATCATCCTTTTCTTTCCAGGAATGTTCTTCCTCGATTAGATTAGTTTACAGAGAAACAGCTAACTTAGAAGTTCTTCCACATCGAACTCTTGTTCAAAGAGCTGATCTTGTTTTGTGGTTCATCGTCTGACTCATCCACTTCAAGAAGACTCTGGTTCTGAATATACTTGAATCTGTAACATGGCACCAAAAAGTCGATCGAATAGATAGATCCAAAGGCATAGCAAGCCAAAATTATGCCAAAATGTGTATATAACAATCAACCTCAAAGCGATGCCTTAGGTTTCGAAGAAGAGGAAGCCTTGCTATGGCCATACGACTCCGCATCCATATAGTCCCATCGTTGTCCTCATCCAAAATATCTTCCACCTACTAGTCCAAGAAAACAGAAACCAAGAACATCAGTACTTGAGCACTCATAAACTTCTATGAGAGCATTTGTCAATTGAGTTCGAAAGGTACTTTGATGAAGTTTCTTTTGAATGTTGAGATCTATTTATGTTAGAGCCAGCTGCATATATTTTCTTCTTACGTTCCTTGATCTGAGATGAACCAAGAGATGATGTGAGCTAACAAAAATACTGAAATCTAGACAACTTTGAACATTGTAAGCAAACCTTTCGTGTTTCTCAGGAGTTTCATATGTTTCTTTAGGCTTCACAGACTTGACAGCCTTCTTCATGCCACACTTCTTGATGAGCATCTCCAGCCAAAGCCTCACCTGTAATACTGACACGACTCTTCAAAAGGACAAGTAATCCACATAAACAAAGCCTAATACAGATATATACAACTAGTATGTATGTTTAAGGCTAAAACGATAAATTTTTACGCTCAACATTTGTAATTGTACGTCTACATGTGTGAGAGAAAGAAAAGTTGTGGAAGCGTGAAATTAAATTCTAGGTACCAAAGATGTTAGTTACACACCTTTGATTTGAACAGATTTTTTGTTTTCTTCTGGCAACTTCAGTAAACAGACCATGCTCTTTAAGTTTTCATGTAGTTCTTCGCGTGGTTTTAACCCACAAACACCTTCAACAAACATAAATATGCAGGTTTTTTAAAAATAGATTGGTTGTAGATTTCAGAAAAAGGAAAACCATTCACCGGGTCTCGTTGATAAACAAGCGAGACAAATGGCTAACTCGCAGCAACATTAAGTCGTATCCTCGTTGACAGGGAAGACCACTAACTTTTGTAATTTCCTTGTTTTTGCTCTGAAGGAGAAGCAATGTTGAAGGAAGCCTTGATATGGCCATATCATCTTTCCATCAAGGCAACCAACCACCTGTTACAATTATAGCAGAGGTCAAAAATCAATCTTGACTCAAGAAAAAAGAAAAACAAAGATCCTGTAAAAAATGTTACAGTGACTTGTTAGGATTGAATTAAACATACCTTATTGAAGTACCTACGTAATTTCTCATTTCCTCCACCATTTTCTTCATCTGCATATGCATGACCAATATGAACAAGCACGCCATAAGCTCAATATCTTTTCTATTTACTTACCTGTAGAAACAGCAGCAAACTGAATATTCTTACACAATTATATTTTGACACAAAACAGTTTCAAGGTGCTTATTACCTCTTTTGAAGCACAAGTAACTTTTGGTAAAAAAACCATCACGATCTAGGAGGACCATTTTCCTAAAAATAAGCCAAATGGTATTTGATTAGTTCTCATATATTGACCCGTCTGCCAAATAGAACCTTTTTTGTTTTTCAGACACACTAAATCACATATACTATAGACTACAGAAGAAAAAAAGAGAAATTTACTGCAAACTATAATAGCAAAATCGAAAGACTACTGCAAAAAAAATTGGAGCAACATACTCGGGAGAAGGAGTCAACCTAAGAATTGATATACGCTAATTATGTCTGAAGTCATTTGCGGTAGACCTGAAAGAAGCATCACGATGCCTGAGAAGTACGCGACATTATGAGTTTCTGATTTGCGAACACAAGAGAAACTTACAGCATATTATATAAGTTCAACCCATCAAAACAAAAGACCCCTATAAGTTTTCATCGAATTACCATGCAAAAGATTTGATGATTTCAACAAGTCTGTTTCTTGATCCAGTTTTTGGCTTTTCTCTAGAATGACCTCTCTTATGTTTCTTAGCCACGGATTGCAGTGCTTTAAGCTGCAAAATCCAAAACGATATACAATTGAAATAATGTACCATCAGTGCAAATCTATACAAGATGACCCACCAAGTTATCCGTACGATTATAAAATTGTCTTATGTATAGTGAATAATCATGAGACGATTAAAAAAATTGTCTTACAAGTGGGAGTTCGTGGCTGGCTGATCGTCTTGTTATAATCGAAGATGAAGTTCTTCTAGAAACCTCTGGCACTGCTTTGGCCATGTGACTCCGCATTCATATAGTCCCCATCTAAAATATCTTCCACCTACTAGTCCTGGAAAACAGAAATCAAGAACATCAGGACTTAAGCACTCAGATACTTCTATGAGAGCATTTGTCAACTGAGTTGGAAAGGTACTCTAATGAAGTTTCTTTTGAATGCTGCGATCTACTTATGTTAGAGCCAGCTACATATAGTGTCTCCTTACAATCCTTGATCTGAGATAAACCAAGAGAAGATGTGAGTTAACACAAATACTGAAATCTAGACAACTTTGAACATTGTAAGCAAACCTTTCGTGTTTTTTTCAGAAGTTTCATCTTTTCCTCAGGCTTCACAAACCATATTTGGTTATAAGCATCTCCAACCGAAGCCTCACCTCTAAAACCAACCTGAATCTGAAAGAAGGACAAGAATCCGCAGAAACAAATCTTAATATATATGTTTACAACTAGTATGTATGTTTACGGTAACGCAATAAAGTTAATGTACTAGCTGGAACTCAACATTTACTTGTTTGAGAGAACGTAAAGGTTCGGAAATATGAAATTTAAATTCGAGGCACCAAATACTGCGTTTATAAAACAGGTATTAGACGCAAACCTTTGCTTTGAAAAGGTTATTCCATTCCTTCGAGCAACTTCGGTAAGATTTCGACCATGCACTTTATGTTTGCCAACATTCCTTCTGGCTCTATCACTTGAGCTTTCCAATACACGTCTTTAGCTGCTGTATAGTCCCTTAGTTGCATATAAGCCCATCCAAAGTTCCCCTGTAACACCACATTTATTCAAATCCATTAGTTTATTGATCAAAAGACTTCAGAAATCTAATCAAAACTAAAGACTAGTGAGATTAATCTTACCAATATCCTAGTGGTTTTCTTCTCGACCGTGACCTTAAATTTCTTGCCATGAGATCTCGCAGTATTTGTTGGTTTGACCTGGGTTAATCTTGGCATCCAAATCTACATCAGATATATCCTTCACGAATGATTAGAAGTCCTTCCACATCAAACACTTGTTCAAAGAGGTTGATCATCTCACTCATTTGCAAACCTCACTTGTTCAAAGTGGTTCATCGTCTGGCTCATCCACTTCAAGAAGACTCCGGTTCTGAATATACTTGAATCTGTAATATGGCACCAAAAAGTTGATCGAATAGATAACAACCATAGATAGATCCAAATGCATAACTAGCCAAGACTATGCCAAAATGTGTATATAACAACCAACCTCAAAGCGATGCATTATATATTGGAAAAGAGGAAGTGTTGCTATGGCCCTGCGACTCCGCATCCATATAGTCTCCATCGTTCTCGTCATCCAAAATATCTTCCATCGACTAGTCCTGGAAAACAGAAACCAAGAACATCAATACTTGAGCACTCAGAAACTTCTATGAGAGAACTTGTCAAACGAGTTGGAAAGGTACTTAAATGAAGTTTCTTTGAATGTTCCGATCTACTTATGTTACATCCACCAGCAGCTGCATATATAGTTTCTCCTTACCTTCCTTGGTCTAAGATGAGCCATGAGAGATGTGAGTTAACACAAATACTGAAATCAAGAAAACTTTGAACATTGTAAGCAAACCTTTCATGTGTTTTCAAGATTTTCATCTGTTTCTCAGGCTTAGGCTTTGCAGAGTTGACAATCTTCATGCCACATTTCTTGACAAGCATCTCCAACCGAAGCCTCAAATAAAATACCAACCTGACTTTGAAAAAAGGACAAGAATCCGTAGAAACAAATCTTAATATATATATATATATATATATATATATTACAATTAGTACGTATGTTTGTTGAAACGTAATAAACTTAATTTACTAGCAGGAGCTCAACATAGAGAAGATAAAGTCGCGAAAATATGAAATTTAGATTTGAGACACCAAAGATGCATATTAGGCATACTGCGTTTATAAAACTGTATTTTATAAACCTTTGCTTTGAAAAGGTTTTTCTCCATTCCTTCTAGCCACTTCAGTAAGACTTCGACCATGCACTTTATGTTTGCCAACTTTTTACAAGCCTTGTTTGCATCTGGCTCTATTACTTAGAGTTTTCTGATACACGGCTTCAGCTGTTGTAACATCACATTTAAATCCATCAGTTCATTGACCAAGAGAATTCAGAAATCTAATCAAAACTAAAAACTAGTGAGATTAATCTTACCAAGATCCCAGGGGTTTCCTTCTCGACCGTGACCTGAAATTTCCTGCCATGAGATCTCGTAGTCTTTGTTGGTTTCCCACTGGTTTCCCATTTAATGCTTCTCCTTGATATATTATCCAAAAGTTTTGCTTAAATAGCTCAACTTAATCTTCTGCTCTTCCACATTGCTGCTCAAAATTTCGATCCAATTTTGTCAGTTCTACAATTTAATAACAATAACTGAGAGAAACAAGAGAATGGTCTCGGTTAGAGTTTACTTACCTTATAGAGATCGATGAGTACATTGTCTAATGATTCATGAGCTTGTCTCAGCCACCAACACCTTCAACAAACATAAAATTTGCCTGTTTTTCAAAACAGATTGTTGTTGTTGTTTTCAGAAAAAAAAAAAAAAAAAAAAAACTCATTGAGTCTTAAGAGTTATAAAACTTACAAGTGGGAGTTCATTGTTGGCGGAATGTATTGTTTAACTCCAAGATGAAAATCTTCTAGAAACTTCTGGCACTGCACATTAAATCTTAAAAATGAAAGATAAGAGAGAATCAAATAAACTTTGTCTAGCTTAGTTTATTTGGTCTGACAAATTAAGACAGTTATAACTTAGCTGATTGGTTGCTCTGGAGGACTTTGAAATAGTCCTAGAACTATCTCAAACAAAACACATATTTGATAAACTGAGACAGTGCGTGAGCAAATAAGCAAGCAAGTTAAGGATAGAAAATAAGGAAAAGAAATTCAAGTAGTTAAGGAAAAGACAGTATGTGAGAAATTAAGCACATAAGGGCATCATCAATGGGGGATCATGTGAGGGTGTTCTTATAGAGAATATAATGTTAAAATAATGTAAGATCATGTGTTTAGATCTTTTGTTTAGAAGTTGATTAGTGGGAGAACATGTGTAAGATCTTAAGACTTAATAATATAATAATCTAAATTAAATTAAGATTTTACAATTATTAAAACATTTAAAAATAACATATAAATTGCAAATGCCAAATTTATGAAAAACTGAAAATAAAAGTGAAAATACAATACTAAATATTTATGAGAAAAAACATTAAAAATATAAATAACAATAAACAAACAAACATATTACTTAATAAAAGCACAAAAATATTTTATCTAATTAATACATAGTTTATTATCCAAATTTATTCCAAATATGTTGAATATTCCAACCAATGCCCAAATGCCACGTCACCCCGCAACACCCACAAGAACAGATCCAGGTCAAGAGCCCAGTTCCTGATCTTAAGCCCATTAACCCATTTTTTTGGATTTAAATAATGCTTAGATCAGGGGGAAGATCCCCCAATGCAGATGGTCTAAGCAAGTTAAGCATGTAAGCAAGAAAGCAAGGAAGCAAGAAGCTAATGAGGAAGCAAGGAAACAAAGAAGTAAGTAAACAAGGAATCAAGGAAGCAAGCAATCTCACAAGAGAGTAAACAACAAACCATTGAAGCTGGTAATTAAACAAGGAATGGAGAAATAAAAGGAGTATAGCAAAGAATCAGACAAAGAATTAAGGAAGCAAGCAAGCTCACAAGGAAGTAAACAACAAATCTCTGAAGAAGTAAAAGGAGTCAAGCAAGCAAACAATCAGACAAAGAATTAACGAATCAAGTAAGTAAACAACGACTCGAAGAAACAGAGAAGGAATTATGAATGTGTGCAATGTAGATTATGTATGCATTTATGTATGCATTTATGTATGCATGTATATATGTATGTATGTATGTATGTATGTATGTATGTATGTATGTATGTATGTATGTATGTATGTATGTATGTATGTATGTATGTATGTATGTATGCATGCATGTATGTGTGCATGAATGACTGCATGTATGTATGTGTGCATGTATGTGTATGCATTTGGTTGAGTGATTGCGAACAACCCATAAGAATTCTCTGGCTCTGCAATTTGTTGATGCAGAAGAAAAGTGACACAACATCAAACTCCTTCCAAAGGAGATAGAATCGTCAATTGTTTCCTACACAAAAATTTGAGAAAAGAAAGCACAAGATATCAGAGAAATTAACTCATATATATAGTCTTTTAAGATCAAAATAAATGAGTAAGTCAACACTAAAGATTCTTTCACTTATCTAACGAACAGAACACAAATAATGTAGAAGTTTCTTCTAACATTTGGATAACTATAAACATATGAATGAAAACAACAAACCTGTAAAATTACGAGTGGCAATGACAATCCTTTTCATCGAGTACACAAAATCGAAATTTGCTCTCCATTGCTCTTAATAGAAATCAAGTTCACTGAGAGACAAAATAAAACGAAATTATTTTCCACAACCAGAATGATTTCTAAAAGTTTCGTTATCAACCAAAGACAACAAATTATGAAAAAGTAGAGAAAAATTGATCGGATCAGATAGAAAATTTTATTGGGTTCGCAGAGTTACACGAACGCTAAAAATTTGAAACGGTGGAATTAAAAACATAATAAATTCGATTGAAAAAAAAAACACAAACCTCCGTCACTGCCCTCACGGCGGCCACCGCCACCAGATCCGTCACAGCGGCTAAGACCACCACGGCCTCATCCACCGTCGCTTCCTTTCAACAAAGTCTTGTTCTCGTCTTTGAAGGTCACGAATCATAATCCTCTCGATTTTCCAGTTTCGCGATCGCTAGTGATCTGTAAAACCCAAATCAAACAAATCATAAATCAGAAATTATTGAAAAAAGCAATGAAATGACAAAATCAATCGATCGCTCATAAAATCAGGAAGATTAACGTAACGATAAGACAAATTAAGTAACAAAGAATGAGAGACATAGTAACAGTAAATCGAATCAAGTAGCGAAGAAACACAGATCCAGAACCATCGGAATTCACACGACCAAATTCGTAATCCAAGAATCTCTAACCTTTGAATCGATAACTTGAGAGAACTCTAGTTGGCGGTGGCTTAAGCAAGGTCATTTCGGAAAAGAGAATTTAGGGTTTCAAAATTATGAGAGAAATCGGAGAATTGTAGACGATCGTCTTCTAACGGACTATTTAACTTTACTTTTGTTTTTGTTATATAAAAAATTCCAATTTGAAGAAAACGAAAATGCCGCCCATTTCGAAAATAGAAATTTGAATTTCATTTTTGTACACGTCACGATTGTAATGTGCGAAATGTTTAACGTAAACAAAAAGTAATCCGAGATTAGTTGCTATGCGGTGAGTGTCATAGTATTATATTCTTTACAGAATTACAATTGTAGTAGAAATGTCATGGTATTTTTAATTTTAATATCAATGGTTACGTAGTATCTTACAGTTTTTACTATGTCAAATTTGGGATAATCATCTATCTGCCATTCACCTAATAATCCCAAATTTAACAAATAGAATTAGTGGTATTTTAGTGATATGTGCCTTAGTGCCTAAACTTGTTTTAATCGAAACATGCAAAACGAGTTATCTTATTTATGAAAGTCATCAAAAAAATTATTAAACATGGAAATATTCTACTTTAATATATATATAACTAGATAAGGACCGTTATATGCGGGTTTTAATTTTTTTTTAAACAAAACAAAAATTTAACAAAAAAAATTATATTAAAATTTTGTTGTAAGTAAAAACTATCTTTACGAAGTAACTAGCAACCCTAATAGTGTGAAGAAAATTTATGTATATAATTTTGTTTTTACCTTAATATACTAACTAGCAACCCTAATAGTTCTCGGATCAACGGGCCGTGAGATCCGACAAATCCCAAGGCCATGGAGAGTCATGTGAAAACTCCTGACACCCACACGTTTGTGTAATTTTTTCTAGGATAGATCGAACCTCAACATGGGGTAACTCATTACAATCTTCCTAGTCTCACTACCATTAGACCACCCCCGTGCGGGCTTTTATAAAATTTTCTTGTTTTAACTAAAGTATATCCTTTTTAATTATCTAGTTTAATATAGATGTTTTTTAAAAACTTTTATGTTAAAGATTTGTAATTTTCATTTTTGTGATAGAATATGTCAAAATCTAATTAGAATAAGGTTTTTTACATTTGTCAAAATCTCATCAATTTATTGACACATGTCGCGATTATGTTAATTACTAACTCTGAAACATCTAACTTATATAAGAAGATTATTTACTTTAATTATTATTTTTAATGTATAATTTTCTTTTAATATATATTTCAAAAAATAATATTTGTGATTTTTTTCTTTTTATAATTAAGAATTTACTATATTATTTTATTTGTAAAAATATTTTTAGAGAATATTTGTGTTCCTTTTTTGGGATTTATAATTTATTGTATAATTTCCTTTTTATTGATATTTTGTATACTTTTTCATAAAAAGTAATTATAATCATTTTACTTTTAATATTTGTAATTTTTTATATCGTTTTCTTTCTATTGATATATTTCTATATACTTTTCAAAATTATTAAGTGTAATCCTTTTTATTTTTAATATTTATAATTTATTATATAACTTTTTCTATTTATATAATATTTTTTATACTTATCAAAATTTGATCGATGGATTCGTGTCAAAAATTATGTGAGTTACTAATTAATATACGTCAAATCACGTTATGACTGTCACAATTTTAAAAGTACAATATTTTTAATTAGAAAAAAAAAATTAGTCTTATGTTTTTTCTATTTTGAAAGAGAATATGTTATTTTAGTGTTATGTTAAGTTATTTGTGCTGGAAAAAAAAATATTTTTTCGTAAGATAATGAGGTAAGTGTTTTGTGTTATACGTAGGACTTTTGTGTTTCTAGGGTTATCACTTACCAAGCCGTCATGGAAGATTCACAACCTTCTCCCTCAAGTAACCTAGATGACGCCGGAAACTCCACACCAAACATTCCTCTTGATCTCACCTTCGAGATACTCGCTAGACTTCCGGGGCATTCCATCATCCGATTCCAATACGTGTCAAAGCTCTGGTTCTCAATCATTCGCAGTAAAGATTTCACCGACTCGTTCCTGACTAGGTCAAAGACTCGTCCTCGTCTCCTTTTCACCTTCAAACACTTCGACTCCCGAAAACGTTTCATCTTCTCAGCTCCTGAACACGACGAGAATGACAAATCCTCCACAGTTGTCGCCAGACACGACATGACAGTCTCGAATCTCGTCTACTACATCAGATCTCGCCCCGTGAACGGTTTCGTCTGCTGCACGCGAGGCTCTTCGATTGCGGTTTG